TTAAGAAATGAAACTTTTTCAGGTTATAAAGGAACGTTTGAGGTTGGGTTATACCAAATTTTAAGCTTCCATGGTGAACCGTTTATTATATATATATATATACATATATTTTTTTTAAAATGGCCGATTTTATTGATTTTGAAAAAATTGTTTTGTTCCAAAACGGTTAGGATTTAAGAAATGAAACTTTATAGGATTGTAAAGAAATATTTAAGGTTAGGTTTTACCAAATTTTAACTTTCTAGGACGAACTATTTATTATACAGGGTGAGTTTTTTTCCATGTTTAGTATGGAAATCTCGAAAACTAGCGGAGATAGAGAGAAAATTAAATAGGGAATGAACTGCAGTTTCATGAACTCAATTTAATGAGCTCTTTGTTTTTTGAACGAAATGCATGGCTAACTAGATATCTCGAAAAAACCGTTTTTTTTTTGTTATATCGTTCGATACCTATGGCTCCGTTATTATTGATTTTAGAAAAAATGTGTAAAGGAAAAATTTGTTAGGTATTACATGTTTAATAAAACAGTCTAACTGATTTTTTTATTTAAGCAATAATTTTTGAGTTATGACACAAACTTGTAATTTTTCTAATAGAAACCATAGTTGGCCATGAGTTTATAAAAAAGGCCTTTTCTCAACGATTCTAATGATATACCACTTGACATGGATATTTTTATTAATAAATAATTTATAGTCATTTATTCTTTTAATTTGCAAACTGATCAGGTAGTACGCTATGGAAACAATTGATAGATACGTTTGGTTATGTCAGCTTAAGGCAAACGATTGTTTCGTTTAGTTTCTGATTAACATTAAATTGAGTTCATGAAACTGCAATTCTTTCCCTATTTAATCGTCTCTCTATCTCCGCTGGTTTTCAAGATCTCTATACTAAACATGGAAAAAAACTCACCTCTATATAAATTTTTTAGAGCTATTGTGGAGGGTTATGTACTAGAACTTAACGCACTAGAACTAACTGGAAATTTTATATTATGAATTTAATATATCCTATATATAACATAATTCTTTCGAATACTAACGATTTGTAGATTACTTCAACAGTGCCCGGGTAGCTCAGTCGGTAGAGCATTGGACTTTTAATCCAAGGGTCCAGGGTTCAAGTCCCTGCTCGGGCGATTTATTTTTTTATTCTTAAACATTTTGTTGATTTTTTTTTTATTTATATAAGAGAAATATCAAATTAAAGTAAATCAGTTTCTCGACAAATTCAATTTTTCTTAACACAATAAAAGAAATTTATTTCATATTTTTTTAAGAATTAAAATTTTTCATTTTTGAAACCAATTAATACGATTTAAATAAATTAAAAAAAGAAATAAATAAAAAGTAAATTTGGTTTTTGTGTGAAATTTTACCGGTTCAAGTGGTCGCATCAACGGTTCACGTTCTCCTTTATTTCAACTTTCCCGGTAAGAAAAGTAGTGAACGTTTGTAACAAGGCGAAACGAAAACGTACGGATATCGGCCTTTCCCCCCTTCCCAACGCTTGCTCGCCAATGACGAGGGGCGAACAACGAGGTCTCCCCAGAAACTAGAAGTGGGGACCGAAAGGTCCGCTTCGAAAATGATGTAAGAAGAATCGCGGTGTTACGAAAGTATGGCAATGAACTCGATTGGCCTACCTCTGGCATTCAAGTTCATTGCTAAATACACGACTTTGCAATACTAACTAGGAATATTAAACTATTTAAAGAAATTATTTAGGAAAATTTATCGTTGTCATTTTCCTTTTTATAAATCATAAAGATTTATGCATAAAGCTGACTATGCTGAAGGCAACAAACTTTCAGTATGGCGTCTTGGCCGCAAAGTGCAATATCTTGAGATTCGAAAATTAGATTATAAAAAAACTCAAAAATTCCTCCTAATGCATATTTATTATAAAAACAAAGATGTAAACCACCATTCTGCAAATATATCATAACAAAGGTTCTAAAAGAAAAAGTTGGGCAATTATCAAGTAGTTCGTATCGTACAAATAGTATCTAATTTTCTGCTAGCACTATTTAATCTTTTGTCAGTAGCATCTAGTTTTATGCCAACAGTAGCTATAGTCTTCTGTCAGCAGTGTACACATTTCTGCCAGCAATAAGTAATGTCCTATGTGCGGATTTCGGAGGAGAGGTGAAGAAGAAATGGGTTGCGTTGGGTTGGATTTTTCTTTGCTGCACAGGCCGAATGATGGTAGGAAATGATGAAGAGGAACGAAGGGAGGCCCATGTTCTCCTCCTCTAGGTAATAGGTAACCAAAACGTAATAGACCAAAAATGTATGTTTTTATTTCTATCCGAGAGTGCTAAGTTAGGCAAAGAAGAAGGTTTTTTTACATCTTCATGACTGAGAAGAAAGAAGGGATTGATTGGCAGAGAGAGGAGAGGACGGCATGTGGTGGTGGTTTAAGTCCAGAAAACGGTTCTGTGAAATGGAGAAAGGAGCAGAAGAGGGTCTAGGTAACACGTTATTGGTAAACAGTTAAACCTAAATATAAGAGGAATGTTATTTTGTTGTTGCACCGGCCGAATGATGGGAGGAAGAGGGCTAGAGATGATAAAAATAAACAGTCATGGATACAGAAGAGCAACGTATGGTTAATAAGTAACCGAAATGTCATAAAAATTTATATCCTTTTTTATGTCCGAGACGGCTAACTAAGTAAGGAAAAGGAAGCTGAAGGAGAAGGATTTTGAACTGGAGGGAGAAAGAAGTGGCAGCTTGGCTCCGAAGAAATACCTGCTGATGGTTCCGGAGAAGACGAGGAAAGGGGTTTTTAGTGGGTCGGAGATCCAATGATGGGCTCCAACCTCACACTATCTGGTCGCTCAAAAGGTTGGGTTGGGTTGAGTTGAGTTGGCTTGGGTTGCGTTGGATTAGATTGAGTTAGATTGCCAAAGATTTGGCCCAAATACCTCAATGTGAAGGCGCTAACTGGTCACCCCAACATTTATTCACAGATACTATAGGTTTATAGAGCTTGGATAGAGGCTTAAGTGGAATGTTTTAAGAGAGGATTTTTAATTCGAACAATAAACCCATACAGGACTAGCTCATCAAAGATCCTTCAGGTATACATTATGACGAAAAATAAGCAGTGGAGGAGGCACTTACTAAATGGAGAGAGATGGTGTCAGGACAGGAAAAGCCAAATAAACGAAAAGATTGATACATGGCCTAAAGATATAGGTGTACAGAAGATAGGGGATGTTGACTACCATATGAGTTAGTTCTTAATGAGTGCTCAAGGCTTATTTGCGGAAACAGCCTATATAGATACTGACATTATACCAGGAAACATTATAAATCATAAGCTGGAATACGTGGGAAGCAGAAATGATGTGGGAGGAAAAAATGAGTGGGCTGAAGAGACAGAAATGAGGACAAGAGCAAGAAAAAAATAAGGGATTAAAGATCAAAACGTGCCAAGGTATTCCAGCCTCTAGAGGAATGTATATGAGGAAAGGGGTAGGAGACTCATAGATGAGTTTCAATCCGATATTACCTAATCACACTAAATTTTAGGCTTCTGATCAGCAGATTTGCCCCGGCTTCTCTTTGTCTCCCGAAACTCTCTTCCTTGTCATCTCGGCCAAAAAGTTCCCCTGCTTCATCGAGTTCGACCTGGTCACTATTTGTTTCTTCCAAGTATGAATTCCCTTCTTTGTTGTCACTTCCTTGATTAACTCTAAAGAAACACTCAATTCCGCCAATCTTATTCTCTTTTTCAAAAATATTAATTAATGAGGTAAAGAAATTCAAATACTGAAGAAAGTTCCTGACAAAATCAGAATCAAATTTTCTAGAAAAACTTCGTTGTTGATTTTTTTTGAAAGATGAAGAAATTCTTTTAGAGGTTCCGTTTAGTAGCAGATTTGATTTTGAAAGAGTGTTTTTTATTTAGGCGGTAAGGAAGAAGTAGAATATGTGAAAACGTTAGGAAAGCGACAAAGAGCGGCTCCCGCTAACGCGGTGTGAAGTTGCAAAAACTACTTTCTGCTAAACAAGGTTAGACTGAACGAGGAGGCCTAAGCGGCTAAGTTCAACGGCGTACGTTGTGCCACTTACCTGCACTTGGCAGAGAAAAGAAGAGTAACTTACGTCGTTCGTTCGACGGCGAATAGAATTGAACTCACCGATGCCATTGAACTCAAAAGTTCGCAACTCACGATCAACTCGATCTACAAAAAAAATGCTAGAAACTATATCTATAGGATTTTTACTATTTTAGTGTTATTTCTTTACTTTTAGTACTATTTTGTTTTGTTTAATGGGATACTCTTAATTTTTATGTATATCTCTAAGAATTGAAGATTCTTCTTCAAAAGATATCTGATTATAATTTCAGAAACTAAATCTGTTGTTTTAACTCTTCTTATTTAATGTGTTAAATGTCAAATAGTTATAGTTTATAGCAATAAGTTTTAAACAAAAACTGTGAGTGAACGACCCGAAAAATATTATCGAACGTTTCGTTCGGTTGTGGTAAGCAACTTGAGAGGGTCGATGTACTCCGGTTAACGGCAAATTCGCGAGTTCACTTTCGAACCACGAAATCCGAGGCCATGGCCCACCTGATTGTGACCTCCGTAAACCATTCCCTCTTATTACACGGAAATAATTTTACACATTTCAATCGGTTAGTTTCATATCGATCAAAAAAATCTACCAATAATTAAGTAATTCATTAAAATAAGAAATTTATCAAAAATTTGCTTCAATCTCGTTAAAATTTTATTTATAAATTCTAATTTTATTTATTTCTCTTTAAAATTATTAAAATACATCGTTTTATAAGAATTTATTTTAAACTCAAAAATAAATTTGAAAATTATTAATTTTAAAAATTTTTTGTTGCCATCTTTAGGAATTTTATAAAAGTAATCAGAACTTTGACTGTTCAGCAATAGATGTCGTTAAAAAATTCATTTAAAAAAAAACAATTTTGATATTATAATAAAAAAAATGCATTTTAAAGCAAATTTAATTATTTTTCGTACTAATTTTTGTAAATCAAATTAAATTCGTTGAATTTCAAATTACAAGATTAATATAACCATCAAATCAATCATCAACCACAAGATGTCGCTACAATTTCAAGAATTTTCCGTCACTTTTAAACTGATGTTTACCATAACCTCAATCTTTAAATTCATCATCACAACATCAAAAAATTCGTTATTTATTTACTTGTTACCATTTAACGGAATTGTTTAATTATAATTATACCAACAACAATGGAATCAACAGTCTCTGTATCTAAGGTAAAACTAAATTTTACTTGAAAATTTTTGTTAAAATTTTATGTATTCCAGGGTGTTTTTGTATTTAAAAATAAGTTAAAATCATTTAAAGATACAGGAAAAGTCCCAAAGAGGGGTAGAAAAAAAGGTACAGCCCTGAATTTTAACATTTTCAATAATGAGCCTTGGTATCGATCATATTTAGATCTCTGGCAAACAATGGAAAAGAAGATACATGTAAGAAAATCATCATTAATGGAATAAATATTAAAATTGATTAATTGTAGAAGTTACAAACTGAGATGTCTTTATCAATATTTGATGATTTAACACATTACATAGCAAATAGCTATGATAATAAAAACGTTACTGAAATACCCACCGCAGCTTTACTTACCGGTGTGAATATGCCTGATCATGAAGCACAATTTAGTGCTTTAATTAGGAAAATGAAAGAAAATCCACTTTTACATGTCGCTTGTTTACGTTCTGAAGATGGTCAAACTATCAAAAATCTTATAGAAAATATGATGCATCAATTTGTTAATGGAACAGGTTATAGTTCAGAAGAGGATGATTTTGAAGATAATGATATTAAAATAAAAAAGATTAATTATACATTTGCAGGGTTAAAAGCTTGGTATGATTCAGAAAGAAGAGAAGCACTTTTTGTTGTTATTATTCCAGATTTTGAAAGTTTTAAAAACAAGGTTTTACATGAATTTATTTTAATAGTTAGGTAGGTATTATTTATTATAATTGGACCGCGTTTTGCATCACTTGACTAAGCAACAAATGAATAATATTGAGAAAAACGATTATACAAGTGTGATTTTGTATTTTTAAGCTGGTTTTTATTTTATATAGAATTTAAGTTTAACCAATTTCGGCCCTTGGCCATCTTCAGAAACTCTACAAATAGATTAACATCTCTCATCTTATCCATTTAACAAACAAGTTTCTTAATATTTCTTTTTGTTTTAAAGATTAAAAAGTTGTAAAATGAAATTAAGGATGTACTGTTACAAGTTTATAGGTTAAAATTTCAGAACGCTCTTTTTTAATAAAAGAAATATTAAGAAACTTGGGAAAAATTCAAGAATCATCATGTGGCTTAAAAATCGACGATTTTTTTTAATCAATGTGAAATGACCCAAAAAACACGTTAAAAAAGTGCGGAAAAGTGACTAACACTAGATTAACTTCAGTTATAAAACGTCTATTATATGATAACTAACTTCAGGTTTAAAATGTCAACCTCAATTTTGACATATTTATAATCTTTATTAAAAATGCTTTAAAATGAGTACAAACACGACATATTTATCTTCAATATTAATGAAGTTATGGTCAACTTCCGGTTAAGAATGTCAACGTCAATTGATACGTTTAATTGAAATATTACTCGAGATATAAGCAACTTCCGGTTTAAAATGTCAATGTCATTTTGACATATTCTTAATTTTTATAAAATGTCTTAATATTTGTCACAAAAACAAAAATATAATTAAAAAAAATAAAAAATTAAGGTTGGTATTACTATTTAAAAATTAAATTGCTATCTTCATTGTTGCTAACTTAGGGTTTAATGTTTTTTATTCTAATTTTTCTGTTTTTTGTGATAAGTGCGTCATCTTTGGACTCATTTTAAAACTTTTTAATGAAGATGACAAATATGTCAAAATTGACGTTGGCGTTTCAAACCGGAAATGATTGTATTTTCATTAATATTAAAGTTATAAATGTCGAGTTTGGACTCATTTTAAAGGATTTTTATGAAATTAACAAATATGTAAATGTTGAAAGTTCGAACTTTTTGGTTTTTTGAGATAAATGCGTCAAGTTTGGACTCTCTTTAAAGGTTATTTTATGAAGATTACGAATATAATAATAAAATTAAAGTTGACATTGACAAGTGAAAGTGTTTTTGACGACTAAACCCGAATGTTTCTAGTTCTAGATCTTGTGTCTTGTGTTAGTACTAGTGATAGTGCTGGTGTAAAACTAGAACTAACACTAAACAAATAGTATTTTAGGTCTTTCGGTATTCTGCATTTTTTCTAAGATAAGTTACACCTTTACATACCAGACAGCATGAAAATCTTTAAAAACGATAAAATGTCGCTTAGTCAAGTGACGTATAACGCTGTCCAATTCAATATTGTTATTGTATACAGGGTGTTTCATTTAAAACTCCCAGGCCAAGTATCTCTGGAATGGAGTGAGATGTCTTAGTTTTGTGACTTCAGCTCTTAACCATTATTATTTATTATACAAAAATAAAACTGTGCAACTTTCCTTATTAACTTTGATTTCAATGCTTAGTAGATTCGAAGATATTTAACGTTAAAGAAAAATAGAATTGAAATAAAATTATTCATATAAACCAATAAGGTGGTCTCAACATTATTTTTTAACATAAATAACAAAACTATTTAACAAAATAAGAAACAGAATCACATTTTAGGTTACCAAATAAATTTTTCACCATAATAGTAATTGGAACAACAAAAAAAACTTATAACAACTGAAAATTACTTCTATTTTCATTCGAATCGTCTTACCAATTCAACTTTACATATTCTCACAGCACTATTTGTACCAATCCATCGTTCTGGAAACTTGCAGTTCAGGTACTGAGTCACAGGCATTATCTCTGCGTTATGTGGAGGTGCACCATCTTGTTGAAACCACGTCGGTTTTTTTAATGCTTCCAACAAAAGATTCAACAGTTCAGGATGGTTGTTCTGTATAAACTCCAGGTGACTTGTTGATTAAAAGATTGTTTGATTATTTGTTTCCAACTAACAAGATTGTTTTAAGACCAATATCGATTTAGCAACAACTTCTTCCAAAACTACAATATCTCAACTCATTCCAGAGATACTTGGCTTGGGAGTTTTAAGTGAAACTGTATACATTATTTATTTATTTTTTAGTTCATATTTAAACATATTACCGTTCGCCTTTGTGTTTGGAATTGCAACGTCTTTAACGGTTTTACATAAAACATTACCGTACCACGTCTCATCAAAGATTAATATCCAATTTTTTAATTCTCAAACATCCTCTGCTTATTTAAATAGCATTTTGGAAAACGTTTTGTTTTCCGAAGATTGCCCCTTCCAACTCGGAGGCAACATATTTAATTTATTTGTTGATATTTTTTTGTTTTACGATTTATCTGTGAGTGGGTTTATTCAAAAATACAAGGTTAATATTTTTATTGATACCATTTTTGAACTAAAACTAGAACTAACATTATTTATTTATTTATTTTTTAGTATGCAATGTTGGAACATTTTAGTTTTGGAAATGCGATGACTTTGTGTACAAATTACAAAAAATTAAAAACCATATTAAAAGATTTTGATCATGAATCGTGTGAAAATGCGAGACGAATCTTATCATTTCGGAAAATGGTCGAAAAAGAATCCCCAGAGAATCAAATTAAATTATTAACGGACGACGATTATTTTAAGGAGTCCCTAAAAAACGAGATACAAAACGTTATTCGGTATTTACATCTTTATCATTTACTTTTAAAGTGTTTGTTTGCGTTAACAAAGAGTTTACCGAAACAACCTTTAGGAAAAGAGATTCGAGAACTTTATTGCATGGCAAGTTCGGTGAATATAACAAAAACGGATCAATATAAAGAAGCTTTTCAATTGTTACAATTTCAATCGAAAGTTGAATTAATGGGAAATATAACGAAGATATGTGAAATTATTGAAGTTGCGACCACAAAATCAACTTTAAATCGTGATCTTTTACGCAAAGTTGTGGATGATCTTTATGATATTTTTGAAAACGATGATGAAACAATGAGTGTCGAGCACAACGATAGTTTTGAAACAAAAATGAATAATCTGAAAATAAATAGTTGTACGGATCGGAATAAATTTAAAAACGTAAGTCATAATTCAAATTACAAGATTAATAACTGCTATTTGTAGTTATTGTACCAAATTGATCATCAACCGCAAGATGTCGCTACAATTTCCTTAACCTCAATCTCCTTTAAATTCATCACAACATCAAAAAATTGGTTATTTATTTATAATATATTAGTGTGGGGTGCTGCGTTTGAGTAGAATCGCGTGTTTATGGCACAGAAACGCGTCATCACATCTACTTATGAATAAAAATATGTTATTATTATAATAAATTAGGGTATACATCATAAAACAAAAAGTTGAGAATGGTATTAAATTCTAAATCTACATTGTAGGTAAATTTGAGGTTGGGTTATTGAGTTCTTAATGTTCCTTGCTGAACATCGGCCTCCCTCAAGGACAGTAGAATCTTAAAGGGACTACTACATCCTTTGTTCTTTTGTAATCCAGAAAATGACGTCACTTAAACGACACCTTCATTCACTTAAAGTTATTTACTATAAATCGTTTGTTCAAATTTATAGGGTTTACTTAATCTGACAAAGACTGATAAATAAAATACAATTTTTATTTATATAAAATAACAAAATTTATTACAAAATTGTGTACATTTAAATGTCATCTTGTTTCGAAATAATAGTAATAAGAAATTCTTTTTCTTTCTGTAACTTTTTAATAATCTCTTCTTGAAGATTTTTTTCCGACATCCAAAAATTTAAATCTTGAAATTGTTTTAGTTCCTTATCGTATTGATCGACCAACGCCGCACATTTTTGAGGATAGAGTTTGGTAAATTGTTTGTATAAAGTTGTTAATTTCGAAGCTGTTTCCGCGGCGTCTTTTCTAATCTGTTTAATCTTCGAATTATTTTCAGCCCGTAAAGCCATCAAATCCTTTTCCATAGCCTCAAAACTTCTCGTTGTTAATTTCACTTTCGTAACTGATTTAACTAAATTATTATTTTCAGCCTTCATGGTTGAGAGTTGCGCATCAAAATCAGCTCTCATATCCTTGTAACTAGGTGAATTTATATCACCAAGTATATTATTTGAATCTTTTTTTGCACTAACTAATTTTTGCAAAAATTTAGATGCCTCGGTAGTTCCAAGTTGGGAATTATTTTTCTTATTAGGTGATTTTAAATCTTTCTCTTGTTTACTTGGTGCCGAACTGTTAAGTGATTCATTTTTTTGCTCCTCAATTTCCAATTGGTGCGCCTCCAAAACGTTTTCTAAGTCATCAATTTTTTCGTGAGCATCTTTCAACTCTCTTTTAAGTGTTGCCATTTGGGACACATCTTGTTTATGTTGAAGTCTTAACCCATGCAATTCTTTTTTGAGTAATTCATCCACCATAAAGCTATAAGGACTTGAAGGTTTCTCTTCGTAAGCAGATTGCAAATTTCTTACCGCCTCTAATTGTTTTGTTAAATCTTCGTTTTTCTCCGTTAATTCTTTGTTGCGTTTTTTAAGCTCCGCTGAAGATTGTTTACGCCTATTTTGTTCTTTTTTTAAAGACTTTCTTGTTGCATTCAACTCGTTTGTTTTAGCTTTTAACGCTTTAGTTAATATTATAATTTCTTTTTCTAGTTTTGATTCAGACGTTGAGAGCTCCATTTTTATTCTTATCAATTGATGAGTTTATCTATATTTAGCTGCATCTGACACAAAGTAGGAATTATAAAGGTGGGGGAACTACCAAAAAAATTAATAACAGAATCGAGAATTTAACGCAATTACATTTCGATTTTGTACTATTTTTGTTGAGGTTTATAAATTTGTATTTATTGTATAAAATATGATTCAAAAATGTGTTATTTACAAGATTATAACGGTATAAATCATCCTCTTGATTTAGTAACATTTCTTATTAATCAGTTTTACAATTGAGTAAAGTAATCAAGGTCAATTTAGGACCTTTTTTTTTGTCTGTGGTAAATATATCAATTTTTGTCCCATCTATTGGTGAGCAGCTGAACTACGCAAAATTATGAACGTTTTAATTTATAAATTAAATTCGTTACTTTATAAAAGACACCATAATCGTAATAATAATCGTTTTATTTTAGGAATTAATGGAATTAGCATCAACAAGGCAACCTTTAAATAAATTTGAAGCCCAAAAAACTAAATTATTAACTTATCTATCAAGCGTTTTCTCTGAACATCTTTACGAGCCGACTAAAAATTATTTCCATGAAATATTTTTCTTTTATAATTCCTCTATTGAGCAGCAAATAGTTGGTACTCATCGAACGGCTTTACACACGGCTCTAAATGATCCGTTTCAATATCTGCAGGTAAAAAATTAATTAAAAAAGAATTGAATTAGATGATTAATTAATAAAAAATTGTAGTGTGATTGTTGTGAATTAAGACATGACTCTTCAATCGAAAAAACGATGCCTGATATTTGTATAGCATATAAATTACATTTGGAATATGGGAAAATGATTAATTTGTACGATTGGTTGCAAGCATTTGTTTCGGTTGTAAATCCAGTTCATTTGGATGACGCTGAAGCTGATCAACAAATCAGTCCACAGTTACAGTAAGTAAAATTGAAGAAATTTATTTATTATTTATACAGTGGACGTCAAAAAGTTTGCAACGCCCAGTTTTTTTTTGTTCCATTGTATTATTTAAACTGGTTATCATATTGTGGCGCCTCGGCTTTGATTAATGAAACTGAGGTTGCTTCAGGTCGAGGTTCAGTTAAAACATTAAAAAATAGTGACCCCGACGTGATTTCTTGACACTACTATTTTCCTTTACTGTTTTATTTGCAAGTTGTTTATGTGGCGCTCTACCTCTTGTAGATTTCAGATATCAAAAAATAATTTCCACGAAAAAAACTTAACTACAAATATCGTTTCTAAGAAACTTTTGACGGTTATTTAAGTATTTAAACTGAATTGATGATGTCTTTTACATGTTGATAAAGCCCAAAATCAAAATTTATAGAAACTGGAAGCTAACTTATTCTCTGTAAATAATCTTTATTCATACGGCGCACTTTGTAATTATTGCCTCCATCTACTTTCATAGTTTCTACAAGTGAATGGATGGTGATTTTGCGAAAAGCCCGATGCCGGTTATCCGGCATATCTATCCGGCCATTATGGTTATAATTTCTGGTACATTTCTGAAGTGATACCCTACATTGCCACATTATTGCGATATTTGAATAAAAATGAAATTAATAAGAAAGCTGATAAGATATGTCAACTTATTTGGATCCAAGATACAAAATGAACTTTTTTGATGCTGATTTAACTAATGAAGCAACTCTAAAAAGAGGATACTTTAATAAATAATTGCGATATTTCCACAAGGATCCTTCAAGAAATAAATTTTATAGCGAATTTTGAAAGTTATCATTGAAAATTTTATCAAAACTTCAAATATTGTTTTCACAAAAACTAAAAGTTATTTTTCAAAACGGGTTGATTCATTGGAAAGAGGACGCTTTCATTAACACTTTGGGAAATTTTCATACTCATATTCCAAGAAATGGATTTTATACGAATTTTTAAAATTTAATCGGCGAAAATTGCAAAATTCGAAAAACATGTCGATCATTTCAAAAATTTATTTCTCAACAAGTGAAAGTGATTTTTCAAAACGGCTTTTTGCATTAAAAAGAGGATACTTTAATTAATAATTGGTGATATTTCCACAAGGATCCTTCAAGAAATTAATTTTATAGCGAATTTTGAAAATTATCGATGAAAATTGCAACATCGAAAATTTTATCAAAACTTCAAATATTGTTTTCTCAAAAACTAAAAGTTATTTTTCAAAACGGGTTGGTTCATTGGAAAGAGGACACTTTTATTAACACTTTGGGAAATTTTCATACTCATATTCCAAGAAATGGATTTTATACGAATTTTTAAAACTTAATCGGCGAAAATAGCAAAATTCGATTATTTCAAAAATTTATTTCTCAACAACTAAAAGTGATTTTTCAAAACTGCTTTTTGTATTAAAAAGAGGATACTTTAATTAATAATCAAAAGTGATAATAGCGATAGTTCTGTTAGTAATGAATGTGATGATGAATTACAAGCGAAGAGAAGGAAACTAAACGAAACTGCAACAAGAGATTTTATATATCGTATTGGGATTGTTACAATGAGGTTGCTAATGATAAATAAAGTTGTATTCAATGAAAAAAGTCCTATTGGGGTTGAACTTGATTATTATCTGCAGTGTTCAACACCTAAAAGAGATATTAATTCCTGTGATTGGTAGAGTACTAAGTAGAAAATGGCCGAATACCGGATAGTTGCCGGATATCCGTTCCACCACTAGTTTCTACCATAAATTGTTGGTGCAAAAGGAAAACCTTATTCAAAGTAACTCAATTCGGAGAAGGCTTTTTCAACAGCAAGAATTAATTCGTCTACAGTGACTGACATAACATTTTGATTTTGAACCTAGTTCTATTTGAAGCTTCATTAAACTCATTGTCACCAGGAAAAATGTGTGGTTTAGCGTTGTCTTGCTGGGTCCAAATTGTTTGGCGACGACCGGATCTTGGCCATTTTGCTTGAATTTCGGGCAAAAATTTTCCAATAATCATGTTCTTATACTCTAGTGACTCTATTCTCTAGTGACGTTAGAACCACTTTTGTTTCAATGGTCCCAGCTGTCCGATTTTTACTGCTCCGTTTAGCAGTTTCTAAAAAGACAAAAGACCAAATGCCAAGTTTTGTATCGAAGTTCTTGTTTTTAGAATGATTCCAACGTGGACGAGCTGCAGAACATTATTTTTGTGAGAAAACGCTTACTTTTGCAGGTCCTGTGTGATTTATCTGCGCCTTGAACTAGGTAATACGTCTCAGGTGTTTTTGTGAGGTAAAACCATTTCTCGTCTACATATCATACATATCGATGAATTCGGGAGCTTTTGCATTTCGGAATCTTTCTGGTTTAAGCATTGACAGATAATATACCAGTCTATCTATTTTATTGCCGTTTATGAGGAAAGGGTTGGCTGCATTTGAGTGCCGTCATAATACTCCTGATTTCAGTCTATTATGAACCGTAGATTTTGGTACGTTCATATAAGAAGCCTACGAACGAATAGCGACTTTATTAGCGCCGCCTCAATATTTCTCGGCTTTCGACCAACGTATCCTTTTTTCCGTGATTTACATCCGCAACTTCAGCACCATCGACTAACGATTTTCGGGCTTGATGCCAAATTCGGCTTACAGCTTTTATGGAAATGTTAAATTTCTTCAGTCATCTTAATTGAGCCTTGTTTCAGTTTGCTATTCTTACTCAGTTCCAGTAACGCATGATAAACGACTTGCCCTCTCCCATTATTTTCTTAAACCGGATCTTTATGTGAGGTCTTGAAAAGTCACGTTTTTTGGATTAAAAACTTATACTGTAGGAAAAATTACAAAACTTTTTAATGGCAGTGAAAAACTTAACCTTTAGTAAGTGTTTTCAAAACGACAACTGACATTTAAAAGCAAGGCCACCTTTTCTTAATTTTTGAAATAAATCTTGGTTGAAAAAATATATAATGTATAAAAAGTAATACATTTTTTTTAATAATCCAAAGCGCATATAGGCGCTACACCTCTTTTAATCCAGTGGGATTGTGGTTGGTCTGAGGGAACCTCAATTGCTTCTTCAATCCTAGGTTGTTGATAATGTTCCAGCTTTTATTAGCGTTTTATAAGTAGGACATTCATATCTTCCTTTGGCCATTGTGTGGTGTTCTTCTGGTAACAACCAAATATAAGGCATATCTATTAAATAAGTTAATAAAAAAATTGATGTTAAGTAAAAACATTTTTGTACTTGTATATAATTTATTGTATAATTTATAGACACTTATTTCTGGACGGAGGCAGTATTATATATGTATAAACCGATCATCATGTTGTAGCGCCTCGGCTTTAGTTAACCAGAAACTGTTCATCATATTGTAGTATATTAGCGAAAAAAGTAGTGATAATGATCATCTTTTATAACGCCTGATTATAATATCTGAGTCATCAAAGCAAGAGATATGCTCAGACCTCATAGTCATAATAACAAAATTAATTGATTTTCTTTTTTCCAGGGCAAGATTTACACAAGCAGTTGCGGAATTGGAATTTTTGGGATTCGTTAAAAGCTCTAAACGCAAAGCTGACCATGTACAAAGATTAACGTGGGGTGGCTAAAATATTAAAACAATTACAACTTTTAATATTTCTACAGAAAACTTAAAAAATAATAAATTTTTTCTTCGCATTTTATTACTTTACGATAGCAATAATTGTATCCCAGTTTCATTTTCGTTTATTTGTTCGAAAATATTTTAAATAAGGTTTTCTCCTTTTCGTACCTACTTTTACGACAACTTAACCTTTTCGATCGCCAAAAAAAATCGACCACACACAAAACTTTGAATATCAAAAAAATAAACCAAACCTTTTTGTTGTATTTACAATTTCAACAAAAAAAATAATGATTAAAATTGCGTCTTGGTTTAAAAATGGCCGCCGCATACCTCGAACCGGTTTGAGTCGCGTTTCATTTTTTTTTTGTTATTTCTTTTTTTTTTTTTGTTCGTTTGGCTTCCCGCGCGTCTCTTGTTTTCCCTTAATGTGAAACGCACACAGAGCAGGCCGAGAATATATCGAACGGCGCGTAGCCAGGCGCTAATTGGTCGAACAAATACCGCCGAACAGAAATCATAGGCGTCCGTGACGACGACGACGCGGTATTTCTCAATCCGCAGCGCCACGCATCGGCCGCATTTCGAAACCGCGCGTTAATTATTGAACAACGCGCTCGCGCGTGACGTCGACGCGCCTGCGTTGATTCAAATCACACAGATTTCTTCCAAATGTCCAACGTCATGAATTTTAGATGATAACGTCATATCATTATTCGTAATATGAAATTTTTTTTTGTTATTAACACTTAAATTTAAATGTGTGTGAGTTTTATTTCTTATTTTTTCTTTAACAATGGTGTTCGTTGTTCTAGATATTAGAGTAGCACATATTTGCCTAAGGCGCGGAGAGAAGTCGTAATGGCAACCGAAGAAGAGACGTTATGCAAACCGAGAAGTCGATGGCCTTCTTCGGTGGGACTGTTATTGCCGATGGAGGAAAATCTGAGTGTTTATACATAGAGATTTAAGAGAACGATGTGGGATGGATGAATAGATGGATGGAAGACGCGCGTTGGGTATGTGACGAAACCGAACTATAAAACACATCTTGCGGGATCAAAGGGGACCGCCTTCACTGTTTTGGTGCAATAAAGACATTAAAAACAAGTGCTTCTGATACCTGGGCACAGAACAACCGCTTTTACTGCTCGCCGTCCCGTGGGCATCGGCTCATTTTATTATTATTACGATGGGCGTACGTCGACAAAAAATGCCGAACAGTTTTTATTTTTAGGGTATACTACATTGATAACCTAGGATTTCCGTGTTTAGTAAATTTAAACTTTTTCACAACCAAAATTATTTCATAAAATTAACTACTTCTAAGTATAGAAGAGATTTAAATACAAGAACGAAACATATCTTTGTACTTTGTATCCATACGTCACGACCATGTGACACCATTTTTTCATTAAAAAAATACATAGTTGTTGAAACGTCACCGATATTTGAGGATTTAATATATTCCAAATTTTTTAAACAAACAGACCTCCAACGAGATTTAATTGAATTGGCGTTTGCACATTTTTTGTGTACAAACAGAGCAATGTTACGCTTCTCACTTTGTAAATATAAAAAAAGTTTTTAGTTTAGAGTCGTTCAAAAAAAATTAATACACAAACAGATTTTATCTCTTTATTTGATAGAAAAAAAATCAAATTACAAATAATAAAGTAATACAAAAAGTAATAGTTACGTGGAGTTTTTGGTACCAATCTCTGCCAGGAGAAGCGTTCAGGAGTGAAGCGGGCAAATTCTTGACCAATGGGAGATCGATGGGAGGGACTCTGAACGTCCCCAAGACTGGTTGTACTCCTAAGGATTTAGTCATCCGACGATAATATGTTAAGATCCGTGAAAATGGAAGTAGTACTTAACGGTTTAGTGTGAAATAATGACAAATAATATATAATAAACGGTTAATTCACAAAATACTAACTAGGAGTGCTTATTGAAAGGACAACATACAACCGTGATTGACAACATCAAATCAATCAGGAGGAGGATTAATTTTTTTTTAATTTTAACTTTTCGGATTTTAATTTCTACTTATTAAATTAAGGTAAGAATACTACAACTGTAACTTCACATATATTCACATCATGATTGTAAAAATCAAAAATCTTTTTTCAAAACTTATTTTTTAATGTACCATACAACGTAGAAGTCAACGAAAATGTTTACAGAAGGCATTATCCGTTCCGATTACGGATGCATATGGCGTACCAAGACGAAATTTAACGATATTTGCGCAGACCAACGCAAACAAAACTCGCTCTACTCCTTACTTTAACTAATAAAGGAGTCGATTGGTTGAAACCATTCTCAAGTTCACGTTTCCTATCTCTTCTTAACGGTATTGGTCATTAGCAGACTTAAAACTATACTTACAAAATGTTTTTGAAAAAAAAAAAGTTTTCTCGTCTTACTTTATATTGATATCTCCACTTCTGTAATAAGAAAATTTTAATAAATTCGAACGATTTTTTTTTCCATCGGTCAAATAGAAGCAACTTTTAATTTTAATAATTAAATTAAATCACTAATTGTAGAAACAACATGAGTCGGCAATATTAAAATTTAGATAATCTATTTTTACCTCACAGAAATGAATATGCAAAATAAAAATTCGATTGGAATACTTTATAGTATGCGGTGTGTCTTGCATAGTATTGGATTTGTATGGGAGCAACGTCCAAAAGAACGCAGATTGTTGCAATGATTCAATAACCTGTAATTATCCCATAAAGTTTCTAAGATTTAGTACTTGGTCCATTACTCTATGTATTGGATATTAATGACTTGCTTAATTATAACATTATGAACCCCCACACGTTCTTATTTGTAGATGATAATGGTCTGTACTGATTTTAGATGAGATCCGTACTACTCATAATCAAATGTCCAAAAACATAAGTCATCAATGTTCTTATGATATGATAAAAATGTTATTACTACCAAGCAACAAATAGGTATTCTGACCAAATTAATAAAACAACAAATCGATGCGCTCGATATTACACTACGTTGTCCATATTTCCTTCAATATGATGAATCAACATCTTCCTGTATATCCCTAAACATCGTACTTGATATATCCAAGCATCATCCCTGATACTTTTTTCGTCTTTCAACATAAAGCTACACTTTCACAAAAAATGTATTTCTTTTTAAATTTTGAATCGTAGATCTAAAAAATTGATAGCTGCTGATTACAGAGCTTATCTGAGTTTTATTCAGGCAGATGTGTTGGGGAAACCAAAAAAGATATGATCGTTTGTTAATAGCAAAAAGGGTTTCTCATCCGGCATGCCAACCTCAATGACTTCCTTTGATGGAACCATAGTTGACTCGTGTCCTGCGATTTCTTGTGCTTTCTCGGATTACTTCTCCTCTGTTTTTGTAGGTGGCACAATCAACAGCTCAGTGGTTCCCTATGACTCTGGAGTTTTGTTGTGATTTTCCACTAATGCAATTCATAATGTTCTATTGTATCTTGACCGGTCTTCTAGCCCTAGTCCGGGCTAGATATGTTCCAATATTTAAATCTCTTCTTAGTCAGGAATATCTTAGTCTTTCTATTTCTCACTCTATAATCAATGAACAACATCGTTTCCTGTCTGGACGATCGGTGGAGTCTAATCTGTTGTCCTATGTAAACTTTATTCATTCTGCTTTAAACGAGGATACTCAGATTGACGCAATCTACACCGACTTAGGAGTAGCCTTCGACAAAATCGATCATACTATTTTTGTACAGAAACTTTTCTCCTTTGATATTTCAGATGGTCTTGTTCATTGGATTATGTATGTCGTATTTATCTAATAGAAGTCAGGCGGTCAGGATTGGTAGCTTTATATCTGGTTACAAACCTATCACATTCGGTGTGCCTCATGGCAGTCATCTTGGACCCTTATTATTTGTTATGTACATAAACGATATTTCTTGTTGTTTTAAATTTTCTAAGTTTTTACTCTATGCCGACGAGAATACCTATAATACCTATCTGGTATTTCACAAGATTATACCTAATATCTTCTAATATCGTTTCTGACCATTCCAACCTTAATGAATGTGTAAATGACAGTCGTACTTTAACGATAAGATTTTATTTATGTTTTTCATTATTTTACATTTTTAATCACCATTAAAACGGTTAGAATAAAGGTTGGAAGAAAATAATATGATAAAGAGAAAACATAAAATCGTATAACGTGGTTTCCTGAGGATGGCATTAACACGCCGAAACCGGTAGAAATTGAAAAACATAAATAAAATCTTTCATCGTTAAAGTACGACTGTCATTTATACATTCATTAACACACACAATGATAAAAGGGAATCAAAACACAAATATTCTCAACATTATTTATGCCATCCTTCAACATCGTCACTAACATCTCTCATATATATAGCTTTCCTAATCATCTTTCCAGTCATCCATCAAGATTCCCCTTGATATTTCTTAATATCATACTTGATATATCTCATCATCATCTTTGATATCACTTAATGCAGTCCCTGATATTTTAGATGATCACCCCTGGTGTTCTCTAACATATCTCAACAAAATTCGTCTTTTCTCTTTAATATCTACTAATATCGTCATTGAGATATCTAATTATTGTTCTTGGTGTCTTTCAACGTGCACCATCCAATACATCATTGTCTTCTACAACATCTTCATTACTCAACATCATCTTCGATATTTCTTAACATCATTCAGAAAACCACCCAGAAGGCTTCATCTTAAGTCTGAATTAATATCTACCATTATAACTCTAAAATTTGACTGAAACTATTTAATTCTGCCATAATTTTTATATGATTATTTGGATACACAAAAACACCAGGAAATATAACTTCCTCCACAAATTTTCATCTCCAGACTAAATCACGTAACCATTCCAATTAGAATCATTTAACCGTCGCAACCTGTTTATCTTTCTATTTCTAGTAATTTTAATAAAAACCTTTCCAACCACAATCAAATCGTCATATCATCAAATCATCACACAAATAAATTTGTAAACAAACTTAGATTGGCGACTACCAATTAGCGCATTTCGTAGACTACGTAACGAAACCCGAAAAATGATGAAAAGTGTTAACAGTTCAAGTACGCGAAACGTTCCCGCTGTCTGTTAACAGAGTGTTAATTATGAACCGACGGCGAAAACCGTTTCTAAAATAGTTTTTTTTTTCCTATTCGGTTTATCGAAGAAGGTTGGTCGTGAAAACGTAACGATATCGGTACCGCCTAATACGAAATCATTAAAAAAAAACCCTAAAGTAAACACGGAAAGAATAAAGAGAAAGAAATAAACGTGAAACGGTTGTTTTTTGTTGAGTCGCGCGCGTTCGAGATAATATGTGTATTATTGGTGGTAATAACAAGGAGACGAAGAGACAATTGAGATTATTTTTTTCAGCGATATTTGGCGGATTATGGCTCAGCATATTTTGTCGGCCGTCGAGTCTGAAATTTCTTCGGTTAAATCCAAGGGGGACTCCACCGAACGGGATTTATGCGTTACATTGGATGATCGAGAACTTTGGGTGCGGTTTCAGTGTTTTACCAACGAGATGATTGTTACAAAAAGTGGAAGGTAAGTTATTATTTAATTCTATATTTATATACTTTTAACAAGATGATGTTAAGTAATTAATTATACCAACAAAAAAATTTTACATATAGTGTTCGCCAAAAAGATAGCAACATTCTCTTTTTTTTTTTTTGATTTTATTGCACCTTTGCTTAATTAGATAAAATCGTACACTTCTTATTGTAACTTAAATCGATGCCTCTTGATTGAACCTCAGCCGCAAGCGATCTCAGCTTAATTAATCAAAAGATCTACAACTTCAGTTGATACAGCCGAGGCGCTACAATATGATGATTAGTTTCATGTTAATGAATTTCACTTAAGATGCAACTGTTACTTCTAGTTTTAATTGTTATACAGCACTAGATCAAGAACTAGAATTATTTTAGTTCTTCTCAAATGTTTCTAGGTCTAATGTTAGTTCTAGTGACAATGCAAGTGCAAAACTAGAACTAACACTATACCTAGAACTAGAATCATTTGGGTTTAGTCGCACGTCTCTAAAGACGGCTAGTTAGTCCTGCATAGTAGCAGTGCTAGTATAAAACTAGAGCTAATACTATACCTAGAACTAGAATCATTCGGGTTTAGCCGTCTTTAGAGACGTGCGGCTAAACCCCAATGATTCTAGTTCTAGGTTTAGTGTTAGTTCTAGTGATAGTGCAACACTAGACCGAGAACTAGAAACATTCGGATTTGGCCGTACGTCTCTCAAAATGGCTAAACTCAAATGACTCCAGTTCTAGGTCTAATGTTAGTTCTAGTGACAATGCAAGTGCAAAACTAGAACTAACACCATACCTAGAACTAGAATCATTCGGATTTAGCCGTCTTTAGAGACGTGCGGCTAAACCCAAATGATTCTAGTTCTAGGTATAGTGTTAGTTCTAGTTTTACACTTGCACTGTCACTAGAACTAACATTAGACCTAGAACTAGAAACATTTGGGTTTAGCCGCACGTCTCTAAAGACGGCTAAACCCGAATGATTCTAGTTCTAGGTATAGTGTTAGTTCTAGTTTTACACTTGCACTGTCACTAGAACTAACATTAGACCTAGAACTAGAAACATTTGGGTTTAGCCGCACGTCTCTAAAGACGGCTAAACCCGAATGATTCTAGTTCTAGGTATAGTGTTAGTTCTAGTTTTACACTTGCACTGTCACTAGAACTAACATTAGACCTAGAACTAGAAACATTTGGGTTTAGCCGCACGTCTCTAAAGACGGCTAAACCCGAATGATTCTAGTTCTAGGTATAGTGTTAGTTCTAGTTTTACACTTGCACTGTCACTAGAACTAACATTAGACCTAGAACTAGAAACATTTGGGTTTAGCCGCACGTCTCTAAAGACGGCTAAACCCGAATGATTCTAGTTCTAGGTATAGTGTTAGTTCTAGTTTTACACTTGCACTGTCACTAGAACTAACATTAGACCTAGAACTAGAAACATTTGGGTTTAGCCGCACGTCTCTAAAGACGGCTAAACCCGAATGATTCTAGTTCTAGGTATAGTGTTAGTTCTAGTTTTACACTTGCACTGTCACTAGAACTAACATTAGACCTAGAACTAGAAACATTTGGGTTTAGCCGCACGTCTCTAAAGACGGCTAAACCCGAATGATTCTAGTTCTAGGTATAGTGTTAGTTCTAGTTTTACACTTGCACTGTCACTAGAACTAACATTAGACCTAGAACTAGAAACATTTGGGTTTAGCCGCACGTCTCTAAAGACGGCTAAACCCGAATGATTCTAGTTCTAGGTATAGTGTTAGTTCTAGTTTTACACTTGCACTGTCACTAGAACTAACATTAGACCTAGAACTAGAAACATTTGGGTTTAGCCGCACGTCTCTAAAGACGGCTAAACCCGAATGATTCTAGTTCTAGGTATAGTGTTAGTTCTAGTTTTACACTTGCACTGTCACTAGAACTAACATTAGACCTAGAACTAGAAACATTTGGGTTTAGCCGCACGTCTCTAAAGACGGCTAAACCCGAATGATTCTAGTTCTAGGTATAGTGTTAGTTCTAGTTTTACACTTGCACTGTCACTAGAACTAACATTAGACCTAGAACTAGAAACATTTGGGTTTAGCCGCACGTCTCTAAAGACGGCTAAACCCGAATGATTCTAGTTCCAGGTCTTGTGTTAGTTCTAGTTTTATTTGTTATTCAGTGCTAAATTGTTGTATATTTTTATTGAACCAAAAGTAGAAGCTGTTTGAAATTTCGTACATTAAAATTACTCATTTCCTTCCTGGTATTAATCCGTTATATCAAGACTTAACTTTACTATAAATAAATTGATTCCGAATTAGATGCGGCAAAAATCTCCCATTTTAAATGAACCTGTATCTAAAATACTTAAGATGTAACTGTTAGTTCTAGTTTTAATTATTATACAGCGCTAGACCAAGAAGTAGAATCATTGAGGTTTAGTCGTCTTAAGAGACATACGGCTAAATCCAAATATTTCTAGTTCTAATGTTAGTTCTAGTGACAGTGCAAGTGTAAAACTAGCCATATTTAGAGACGTGCGAAACCAAAGAAAAGAAGGTGTTGCTATCTTTTTGGCGGACACTGTATAATATTAATGATTTAAAGATTTGTATTACAAAGATTTTATATAAATTTTATATAAAGCCAATAATTTCTAAATAACGAGAGCTTTTGTAGTAAAAGAATCCACAACAATACTTTTAAAAAGATGAAATTTTAGTAAGAAACGCGGTTAAGGGTAACTATTTAAAGAAACAGGTAAGTTTTGAAAAGAAACCTTTACCCTATTTTTATGATGGGTTATTGGTACATCCTCAATAAAGTGTTATAAACGTTGACAATGTTTTCAAGAATATCCAACAAAAAAATACTGATTGAGGTTCGAACCTTATTATTCCTTTTTATGACACCAACCAAAACAAATTTTCGTTCTTTTAGTGCTTAAAAATTTTAATTTTCGATTGTAACAACTTAAAAATTATTCTTTTTTCCTTGTCGTTTTACCCACGCGTGAAATAAAGTTTTATTACTTTATTAATTTATTCATCACTTTCTAAATTTATTGCATGTTTTTAGCTTGAAATTATTTATAAATTTATTAATTTTTTTTTCAGACGAATGTTTCCAGTTGTCAAAGTGTCGGTATCCGGTTTAGATCCAAAAGCAATGTACACAGTTCTTTTAGAATTCGTTCAAATAGACCCACATCGATGGAAATACGTGAACGGGGAATGGGTACCAGGCGGAAAGGCGGAAGTACCACCATCCAACCCTATTTACATCCATCCAGAATCGCCGAATTTCGGAGCGCATTGGATGAAAGAACCTATTTCGTTCGCGAAAGTTAAACTGACCAATAAGTGTAACGGTAACGGACAGATTATGTTGAATTCATTGCACAAATACGAACCTAGGGTGCATTTGGTGAGGGTTGGTACTGAACAACGAAGAGTGATGACGTTTCCGTTTCCTGAAACACAATTTATCGCCGTTACAGCTTATCAAAACGAAGAAGTTACTTCGTTAAAAATTAAATATAATCCTTTTGCGAAAGCGTTTTTAGATGCTAAAGAAAGACCTGAAGGGATTTATAGCCAGAGGGAGTATAGCCCTCCTTATAGTCAACAACAATCTCAATATACTCAATGTAAGTTATTTAAACATTAATTATTTTAACAAAAATAATTTTTATTATTTTTAGACGGTTCTTGGTTCCTTCCTCACCAACCGATTTATCCATCAGCAACAGCCACCGTGCAATTATCAACGGATAGATACTCATCCCCCACAATAAGAAACGGGAGATATCCTACTGTAACAGGAACTGTTCAGTTAACATCTTGCGAAAGATTTCCGAGTGGATCAAATTTGCGAAATAACAGAGCATCTCCATATCCAACCATCCAACAAAGACCCAAATCTAGTTCTGTATCGCCACCTAATGGTAATTATTTCAAATTTTAATTACAACCAATCTTATCTTATTTTCTTTTCAGTGTATAACCCCCCAGATCACGTCCAACAATCACCAATTTACAGTAACACAAACACCACATCTTACACAAGCTGGTCATCATCACTCCAACCTCAATCCTCATCAGCAATGAGTCCCACAATAAACTGTTGGTCTTTAACTTCAAGTCCACCCCCTCCGCATCAAATTTCCGCGCAAACCACCCCGAATCAATCTCCAACTCACCCAGTTTATCATCAACCGATTACAAACCTTACAAATATATCTTATACAGGGTATTATAACCAAGATTTAACTTACGCTCATTATCAAGGACCAGAATACGTTCATATAGAAGGGTATTCGGCCCCCGTTGATGCTGAAAGACCTACAACGATTGTGTATCAAGAAGATGTGAGCATCGAGAAGGGGACTGAATATCAAGATAGTCAACAATCTCAGCCAGAATCTCCAGCTTCAAACTCAAGCACACCAAGACACGATACGTGGACGCCGCAAAGTCATATTTAATTAATTTTGATAAAATTTACATTGATATTAATCCTTTTTTTGTGAATATAGTATTCCAATAAGATTTATTTTTAATTTAATCCTTTAAATTCAAAAATATTAAAAAACAGGTTAGAATGAGCCATCTATTAAGCAAGTTGATGTATTAGTAAGTCGGTATAACAGAAATCTATGTGGTTCTTAATACTTTAAGTGTACTTTAAATAATGTTTAAATTTCTTTAAACGATTTAAAATACATAAATAAGATTATTTTGTAAATATTTTTCAATTAAAACCTATTTCATTTAATATAAAACCTTAATAAATACTTGTGATTATCTTGACGTAGCTAACTTCGCCTTAAATAAGCTGGTATCAAAGATGTCAATTTGACAGTTGTTTAGGCGATTGTATCGCGAAAATGGCAAGTGTGGGTTTTCGTTGGCTCGATATCCTGGAAAAGGAGTTTGATAAGGCGTTCGTGGACCTCGATTTGGCCATAGGTAAGTTACCGGGGAAACAAGAAACGTTTTTCTTACATTTTTTTGTCAAAAAACACAATCGGACGTTGCTACCGCTACATTATTTTGTAATGCATATTGACACGAAAACCGATTTTCACTCATCGTGTTTTTCATCGTATCACTTAACAACGTGTTTTCATTAGTTTTCTCGGTTATTTTCCACAGGCGATTTGGATCCGGAAGAGCCGGACATCGTTTATAACGTTCGACAAAAATTATGCACTCTAAGTTCGTGTTTTGCTCAACTTACGCATAAGGCCCAAACAATTTTCCAGAATAGCGCAAAAATCGAGGTAAGTTTTAACGTTTTATGTGTAGTTTCATTTATAAAGTTGTTTTAATTCGGTGTATTTTTAATGTTTTTTGAGGAAGTTGTATAGTTGTTATCTTCGGATTAAAATAGCTTTATTGTGTTATTTAACTAATATCTTATCAATTTTTGTTGTGTTAACATTAAAAAAGATTCACAATTAATTTTTTTGGCACATTAAATGAGTTTATTTTTGGTAAAAAAATTAATAGGTGTTTTGTGATGTTATGGAACTATTTGAATGTGTGAGATTTATTATTTTATAGCATATATTTTGTGATATTCCCATTGGGGGTAATAAAATTGAATTAGAAACGTCAAAAAGAGATTTATATTTCTTTATTGTTTTGATTTAGGCAACCAAACATGCACTGTGTTTTAAAGTATGAAGAAGAAGTGGTGGTCTACAACTCACATATTATGTTTTACCCACTGTGGTTATATTAATCTGTTTGTAGCCTACTAAAGTCTTCTACCAGTAATATTTAGTTTTTTGTAGTTTTTGTTATTTGGGACGTCTTTGAAGTCAGTCAAGATTCTTTCTTCCATCACTTTCAAGTCCCTGTTGCTGTTTTCCCTGGCCTTTTATTTTCTTCTTTCTGCCATAAGCTAGAGAATAGAGCTAAAAGTTACTAAAACTTAGGTTGATACAAAATCTCTGTTAATACATAATGTATTAACTTCTTGATGGCATCATCAAGAAAAATCTGGGAATTATAATCAATAATGTCCTGGCAGTTTCAAATTCAACTTACCTCTACTTCATGAAACCACCAATTTAATTAATTGCCAGAAATTGTAATTTAATGGATTGAAATATGTTAAATAAATATATAAAGATGGTTGAAAACAATATTTTGCAACACAACATTTAATTACAGAATAAATCACTTTTAATAAACAATATTAGTAAATAAAATTTTTAATTCGTTTTGGTTATATTAACATTATTTACATTATCTGTAGAATTATTGATTAATGTTGTAGCTAAATCAGTAATATTTGTGGAAATTGTAAAATTTCTCAAAAAAATATCATTAATTAATTGATCAATTCTAGGATTTCGCGTTATGTTTTCTTCAGGAAGATTGTCTTGAATTACATTTCCTTGAGTAACGTTTTCTTCAGATACGTTTCCTTGATTAATATTTTCTTGTGTACCATTTAATGGATTAACATCTCCATCATTTCCATTAGTACAATTAATTGATGTTCGTACATCAATCGGTAAATCTAAGCAATTAATCGAGGTGTTATTTGAATCATTAGGAAAAACGATCGAATCTATTCCCGTGGTGTTAATACAATTTAAACGATATCGTACATCGATCGGAAGATCAAGGCAATTAACTGGAACCTTGGTGTCATTAAAAATGATTAAATTTGTGTTATTAAAGATCTGGGGATGTTTCGTTTCCATTTGATTCATAGAAACGATTATTTTATATCTGATGTCCTCCAAAATGCGATTTAAACCCTCGAAATTTTCTTTGATCATTTCCTCCTTTGATTGCAATTTTAAATTGTCAATGAGTGATTTTATTTCTTGGGCGTTCGGAAAAGTTTCTCGCACGTTCGTTTTAACGTTGGTGTTAATGTCGATGGATAGGCTTTGTAAGTCTTTTAACGACGCTATTATCTCCTCGAGTTTTTCGTCGAACGAGTCGTCGGTGTTTTGCTCGTTTATCGAGTTTTGTAACGTTTCTAAACTGCTTGTTATTGCGGATAGGGTGTTGTCAAACTTTTTCTCGAAGTTGTAGTCTTTCTGAAGTAATGAAGCGACGGTTTTTATTGTATCGACTGTTGATTTTCTCATGTATTGGTCGTGGTTTTTTAAAATTTGTTCTATTCTTCTTACATCTTTTGGTTCAACAACTGTTCTAAAATTTAAAAAAATATATATATTAAATTCATTTTATTCATGATGAATTTTTTGAATTGGTGTTTATTTCTTACATGATTCATTTTTTACTTCCAGTTTCATGATTATATTCGGAAAATCGCGGTTTACTTATTTTTTTGTTTATCTTATAAATGCGTAATAACTAATATCAATTTATGTATTGATAAAATTGGTTTGCATATTGATATTAATAAAAATATAAATCAACAAAGATTGAAAATTAATATTTGTCATAAACCAAAGATCATAAAATGATTATTATATAGAAAAACTTACTTTTCTGAAAAAGTTTCTAATAATTTCTCAAGAACTTCGCCAATTTTCGATTCTAGTTGGGCTTCATCTTTTTGCACTCTATAACAGCTTTCTAGAAAGGTGTTTTGCGCCGACATTACGCTGTTAAAGTTATTATCCATTTTCTTTTCTAATTCTTCTAATTTTTCTCTACCTTTCGAATCTATAAAAAATTAAGTTAAAATAAACATTTAATTAATTTTATCATTCTTTATTTACTATCAACTAAGTGATGATTTCCAGCCATTCGACCAACTTCTATTGTTAACGCTCTTAAACCACTTTGAACTTCATATCGACTCTGATTTGTTACTAAACCAATGCTTCTTACATAATTTTCTATTCGACTGTGCGTGCCCCATGAATATTCATGGAAATTAACCATCTAAAACAAATATTATAAATAATTAATTTAAATTTGTATTGAAAAGAACCTTCTCGGTTATTATTTCAAGTTGTTTTTTTATATCTTTTCCAAAATCTTCTGTATTTTCATCAAACGATCTTGCAGAGTTCTTCGAAAAACTTCTTGTTACATTTTCTAATTTTTCTAAAACATTATCCGATTGCGTTTTAACTTCCTCAATGGAAGTAAAAACTTCAGATAATTCTTCTTGCATATCTGATTCTCTAACCATTAAATTATCCTCTAATTTATCTAATTTACTAAGGATGGTGTTAAGTTTATTCTGCAAGATAACAAATCACATTTTTTTAATAACAATACACTCAAGGATATATTATTAAGTAGTTAGAATTTTTATGCAACACCACGAAAAGCACAAACCGTGAACGGATTCTACTTCTTTGACCAGTTAATTAAACTCTTAAATTGGTTCCTTACCTCCAGTTTCTTTTCGCTCATATCAATTTTACCTTCGTTGTACACCATTCTATGACTCAAACGTTCGTAGGCGTTGTCTATCTTTCTAATTACGTGGTCGTTGGCGATATCATCTTTAAAGCGCCTTCCGTTTATCGTTTCGAGGAGCTTTTCCATTTCATTTGACAAGATGGTCTCTAATCTTGTTATTTTCGCTTCTATCCCTTCTAATTTTCGACCGAAATGAGCCAATCGACCCTCTACACTTGGCGAATATTGCGTGGAGTATACGCTGTCTAAATTTCTTAATCTTTCTTCTATTGATGTTAAAAGTGTTTGTAAATTCTAAAAATTATTAAAAAAAATCTTAATAATAATTATTATATAGAAAAGAATTATATAGAAGTAATTGTGAACAAATTTTAACCGATTAGAACAATTTTGACTCATGCTAACCCCCCTTTTCCTTATTCTGTAGTCTTTAAATTTTCTGGAAAACTTCTCCTTTAATGTTATTGAGTTGTTTTGTCGTTGTTAAATAAAGTTAAGGTGTTTCCAATCGATTGGTAATATTTTGACACACACCAATAAGCTGTTTTAATTTTCTGGCATCCTTGAAACACTTTCAAAGAATGAACAAAATCAATATTCTTCATTCCTTTCCTCTCCTTAAGTATCCTAAGGATGTTTTTAATTGATTAGATCAATTTTGACTCATACCAACCAACTGTTTTCTTATTCTCAAGTTTTTTGATTTTCTGGAAAACCTCCGCTTTCATATTATTACTTTGTTTTGCCTTTGTGAAATAAATTCAAAGTGTTTGCAATCGATTTTTAAATTTTGTGTACAAGGATTTACTATTTCCTGGAATCTTTGAAACTCGTTCATGTATTGTATTTCATAAGTTTTTACTTCTCTCTTTTATCTTATTTCTTATTATTCTTATTAATACTGAGTTATAGAAGATAAAAAATCCTTTAAAATGAGTCCAAACACGACTACTTTATCTTATAAACTGTCAAAGTGAAAACAAATGCAATCGAGATTCCGCCATTTTGTTTTAAATATATAATATATAAATATATAGACCTTTTTTTCATTTTTGAATATAAACTGGTCGTGTTTGGGCTCATTTTAAAGGATTTTTGATCGTGATGAACAATCCGATACGTATTATGTAGATTTCCTTTATTTTTGTATCATAATTAATTCGAAATTTTAACAGTATGATCATTTAAAGAGATTTCAAACAAATTTAACCTTTATTGCGGAACCGAGACGTGTATATTAAAGGTTAATATGGAATGTAAATGTTTTTTTTTGTAAAAAAATTGCTTGGGTATGTTTAACAAGTAAACCCCTTAATATAGATACTGTTTATACACGTACCAAACATGTTTATTATTTCTCCTTTCAAATTTTCGCATAAATATTTAGGTGAGAATTTACAACAAAAATCAGACGCTTAACTGTCATTAAATAATTGAATTGTAAGATTTAGATTTTTCGCTTGGTTAAGTTACTTGGAAAGTACTAAATACTTGTTAAGAATGTTGTTTATAATTAAATCCTGTTATGTAGAATAAGAAAAACTGACTCCCATATAAATGTATTGAACGACTATAATTTTTCTGTACGTTGAGTTTCATTTCTAAGAATTTAAACCGTTTATCTCATCGTAGCGCTCAAATACTGATAATAAACTAAGATATCCCCATGTAAATACCTGTTGGTTAAGAGAATTTTGGAACTTCTTCGTTTGCCCTCTTGTATCCAAAGAATTTCCGTACGAGCTACCAATAATCATAATGAGAACTAAACTCACTAAACACACTTCATTCATTTTGAATGTTTATTTTTCCTTCCTTTTTTAATTTCTCTTTCAATACACTTTGATTTCGATCTAAACCGAGAGACGTTCAATAAAAGCGAATAGTTGTGTTCACTTTGAGTTCGTCGGCGCAAGATGATGATGATCCACTGCGATGGCTCTCTTATATGAGAACGTCTATAGATAAAGCGGCGGCCGTCAAGGCGGTTTCTTGAACATTACCAGACAGTAATGACTCAAATCAGTGTGGTTACTACGCCAATATCCTCCTTTTTTTGTTGTTGTTTATTCACGTTTTATTTCTGTCGCAAAGTATATTTCTGCTGAGCGTCGAGCCGAACGGAGAAGCTTGGTAGCAATTCGAATCAAACGCGCGGCTTAATCGTAAAATCGACTTCTTAGATGGCTTCTTGCCCAGGAATTCCCATCTAACGCGCTTCGCGACGTTCCTTATTACTCCTCCCCCTAATGGTTTATTTGTTTGTATTCATTCATTTTCATTCCTTGGGTTTGTTTCGAACGAAATTTCTTAATTCTTTAATTAATTAAGAAAATTAAGTAATAGATTTAATGGCCTTTTATAGTATAGATGTTTTATTTTTTTATAGATGCCTCTTTCGTTATTTACAAGGTTTAAAAAGCGGTTACCGTGACGTTAAAACATTTTGGTTTTTATTAATAAAATTTTATTATGAAATTATGTTTCATTCATATTTCTATAGAAATAACGTTTAAGTTATATTTGATTAATTAAAAATATATATTTTACAAATATAGAATATAAAAATTATTTCAAAGAATGAATTTTGTTTCCATATTTATCGATTTAGTGGGTTTTTATTCTGTGAATATAATCGTATTATAATATAATCGTTTTAAATTTGCTGCAAAAAGCAATGCGATTACGTAGTCTTAAACACTTTATAAACAATAATTAACTAACACAAGGGTATTCTAATTAGTTTGAACTTTAAATAACTAACAAGCGTGTAGAAAAAAGTAAATTATTTCCCTTAGAATATTTAAATTGATTTATTTTTAATTGATTGTAATTTATTTTTAGCCAATTTTTTGGACGATTTAAGTTTTATTAAGCGAAATGTATCTCATAGATATCTTCTATTTTGATAACTCATGGTTATTCTTCTATTAGATTTCTTGGAACTCTTCGTTTAAACATATTATGATTCCTGGTAACCAATTGTTTATACCTGGAAGGAAGTTTTGATTTCGATTTCCTATAAAGTTTTGCAATCATTAAACAAGTTGCAATGATTATGCAATTATCTCATTGTATTAAACCCATAACGTATAATATATGTAAATAACAAAGCTTATAAGCGTTTAATTATTACGAATAAGTAGTGTCTGAGATACATTAATTACAATGGGTTTCATTTTATAGATTTACCCAAACTTGATAGAATGCGGGCGCAATAATTAAAAACTTTGTCGCACCCGTTACGTTGCTATGTCACACCCGTTACAAAATTACACTATCCGTACGTGCTATCCAATGTTTTATCGATATAACAATTGTTATGCCTCTTTCGCAAGAGCACCTCCGCATAAGCAAGCGATATCATATATTTTTCATAATGATGTAACCCAAAGTTGCTTCTGGTCGAGGTGCAATATTATGTTCTATCAATATAAGAACTCTAATGCCTCGCCCGCAAGCGACCTCGGCTTAAAAAAGTGATATCATATATTTTTCATAATAATGTAACCCAAAGTTGCTTCTGGCTGAGGTGCAATATTATGTTCTATCGATATAAGAACTCTAATGCCTCGGCCGCGAGCGACCTCGGCTTAACACGTTGACTGCCGTGTGTATCAAAACTGGTACACACTTCTGTAGTGTAGTAATGCGCGTGATATACCCGCGGCAGTCAACGTGTTAAGAATGCGATATCATATATTTTTCAAAATGAGATAAGCCGAGATTACTTATGGCAGAGGCGCTACATTAGGTGCTATCCAATGTTCTATTAATATAACAACTCTAATGCCTCGGCCGCAAGCGACCTCGGCTTAAGAAACCTATATCATATATTTTTCATAATGAGGTAAGCCGAGGTTGCTTACGGCCGAGGCGCTATATTATGTGCCATCTAATGTTCTGTTGATATAACAACTCTAATGCCTCGACCAAAAGCGACCTCGGCTTAAGAAAGCGATATCATATATTTTATATAATGATGTAAACCAAGGTTGCTTCTGGCCGAGGTGCAATATTATGTTCTATCGATATAACAACTTTAATGCCTCGGTCGCAAGCGACCTCGGCTTAAGAAAGTGATATCATATATTTTTCATAATGAGATAAGCCGAGGTCATTTATGGCCGAGGCGCTACATTACGTGCTATCTAATGTTCTATTGATATAACAACTCTAATGCCTCGGCCGCAAGCGACCTCGGCTTAAGAAAGCGATAACATATATTTTTTATAAGGAAAGCCGAGGTTGCTTATGGCCGAGGCGCTACATTACGTGCTATCCAATGTTCTATTAATATAACAACTCTAATGCCTCGGCCGCAAGCGACCTCGGCTTAAGATAGCTATATCACATATTTTTCATAATGAGGTAAGCTGAGGTTGCTTGCGACTGAGGAGCTACAATATGTGATCTACAATCAGACTACAAATTAATTCATGGACAAAGTACCTCAATCTAATTCCGAAGCAATTCAAAACAACAGGAAATGCTTGAATTCTAAAGTAACTTCCCAACTTTGAAAGACACCAATATCAAAAAAAATCACGTGATAAGTAATCCAATTTCAAAACAANACCAATATAAAAAAAATCAACTGATAAGTAATCTAATTTCAAAACAAGGCAACCCAATACCAAAGCAATCCATTTATTGGTTTCCATTACTTTCCAAACGAACTGAAAGACAAAGACAACCATCTCCAAATCATGCCAACAGTACTCCAAAAGCAACGCAACCTTAAAGCAAGCTAACCTTGTAGCTAACGTTCTTGGTTGAACAATCGCAAAGTGGCCCAGTCTAAAGCAATTCAACAACATGGTAACCAATTTCCGCATTTTCATCAAATACAAAGTAACTCTATTCCAAAATATGCCATCTACAAACTCGAGCATCTCCGAGGCAAACCGATCCAATCTCAAAGCAATTTAATCACCAAGTAACCTAACACGTCAAATAACCCAAACCCAAGTACAAGTAACTCATCTCCAAAGCAATTCAAGAGAATTTCTTGGTTGGTGGTATTTAACTTCACTTTGTTAATGAGCTTAGGAATTTGTTACATTATAATTTATTATAACAAACTTTTTAATAATTAAATTTTATTGTAAAATATTTTTCTTTAAATTTAGGCTGAACTTATCCACATGCGAGCAGAATTAGTAGAATCAAAATCAAAACGTGAAATATTAGAACAAGAACTGCACAATTTATTGCTACAATTGCACACAGCACAATTAACACAATTGCCAGCACTGAATAATGGACATTACAAACAAGAACCTGACGTTGATAATATCAAGAAAAAAATTGAAGATGAGTTGAAGAAAAGTCCTAGTCATTCTGTTAAAAGTGAGTTTATCAAAAAATTATTATTACTTTTTTTTTGTGATTAATTATAATACATTTTTTAGAAAGTATTGAAACGGAAGAATTGAAATTTAGTCCTACAACGGTGGAAATAACTCAATTAAAAACGGAAAATGCTCAACTACAAAACGAAAACTCCTCTCTAAGGAATTCAATGCTGGCGTTAAATAGCGAAGTTTATGGTGCAAAACTTGCCGCTAAGTACTTAGATAAAGAGCTGGCGGGACGGATCCAACAGCTACAATTATTAGGTGAAAGAAAGTTACTTTGAGATCATCTCTTCCCAAATAAAAATTATCAGAGAATATCACTTCTTATAGACCACATAATATTAATATGCATTTGACGTCTGTGATTTGTAGCTTTATCATCTTTTTACGGAAATAAAAGTTTATTTTATTTTAAATAAATATTTGATTTTTTATTTCTCATTATTTTTTTTTATTCACGTATCACAATTTTTATTAAAAACTTTTTTAAAGTCATGTTTTTTTTTAGGTCGTGAAATGCGCGGGGATGTTCGAGATAAACTATGGCGACAATTGGAATCCGAAATTTTACTTCAACGACACAAAACAGTGGTCAGAGAATGTAGAAGAAATAGTGTAATGAGTAACGCTGATAAAATGAGTAAACCCCAAGCACCAATTATAACAGAAAATGGAGAAAATTTTGGCGATATTCGTACCGTTGTCGTCAAAAGAAAACCAGGACAAGGATTAGGAATCAGTATTACTGTAATAATTTTATATTACTAAAATATGATTTTTTTAAATTTATTTTGTTGTAATATAATTTTCTTTTTTAGGGTGGTCGTGAACATGGTGTTCCAATACTTATTTCTGAATTAGAAGAAAATGGCCCAGCTGCAATTTCTGGGCAATTATATATCGGTGATGCAATCCTTTGTGTAAACGATCGAGATTTACGTCAAGCGTGTCATAGAGAAGCTGTAGATATTTTAAAACAACCCAGCGAAGAGTGTCGACTTCAAGTACAATATATTGCAGCTGATGATAGTGATAATTCACTTGAAGAAGATGGATACAACTTCCAGTAAGTTTGTTTCAGCTATTAACACATTGTTTTCTTTTTATTTGAATGTAGTAACACTTGAAACACAACCCTATGAGTTTTTTCCTAAAAATTATTAAATTCAATTGCAACAATTTCTTTTTTGAGTTATCCAAATTAAAATTTATGTATGGTTATAATTAATTTTAAATTAGTATAAATCATTCAAGAGTTATTTTGGAATCTACAGAAAATGTTTTAAATAAAAGTTTCTTGGTTACTTGTTGTGCATGTTTTGCCATTATCTACTTTTGTCCATGACTACCTTATCATATACATATACTTTATGAATGAGTTTTTTAAAAGAAAAGGGTAGTCAACTTGACAGACTAATAATAATTATTTGAAACGTCAAAATTTCAAAAAACGTCAATTTAATTCAATTTTTTAGGACTTTTAAAAGGTTTGACATTAAAAAAAACTAAACAAATTCTTTTTTTCGGATGATTTAAGCATAAATTAATTAATTTTCATAAAGAAAACGACGTTTCATAAAATTGACATTTAATTTTGACAATTTGTTGTGAAGTTGGTTACAGTCGCTAACATTGAATTTATGCCACATTGACGTTTAAACTTTATTCAAAAATTTATTTAAAGAATGAATTTAGGGAATCATTTTCAATAGTCGTGGATAAAGTATAGTATTCTACTCACATATAATAATATACTATTTTTCGTATGATTTAAGCATAAATTAATTAATTTTCGTAAAAAAAACATGACGTTTCATAAAATTGACGTTTAATTTTGACAAATTGTTGTGAAGTTGGTTACAGTCGGCAACACTGAATTTCTGTGACATTGACGTTTAAACTTTATTTAAAAATTTATTTAAAAAATGAGTTTTAATGGGTAGTCATTTTTCACAGAGTGATTAATAGCGGTGAATAATCATTATTTATGGCTAATCAACTTGACAGACTAATAATTATTTGAAACGTCAAAATTTCAAAAAACGTCAATTTAATTTTTTTAAGACTCTCTAAACGTTTGAGATTAAAAAAACGTAAACAAATTCCTTATTTCGTATGATTTAAGCATAAATTAATTAATTTTCGTAAAAAACAAACATCACGTTTCATAAAATTGACCTTTAATTTTGACAAATTGGTGTGAAGTTGGTGACATTGCATTTCTGTCACATTGACGTTTAAACTTTATTCAAAAATTCATTTAATCAATTTCAATAGTAGTCATGGACAAAGTATAGTATTCTACTCACATATAATGAGCTATTATTCACTCAGGTTAACTATTAACTAAAGAAATTAACTAAAGAATTTATTATTATTATTAATAGCCTTCATTAACAATCTCTATTGATTGTTTTACATGGGTTTTGAATTTTTAGGAGCCTGTTTTAAGCACAGATTTTTCAACAAGACAAGGTTTTTTGGCGTCATTATATGATGACCAAGGTTCAGGTTGACATAATGTTAATCACTGAGTCTCAAGCTCAAACGACCTCAGCTTAATCAGATAAAATCATACATTTCCTACTGTAATTAAAGCCGAGGGGTCATTATATGATGATCAGTTTGAGGTTGACATAATCAACCATAACATAACCATGACATAATCAAGTTTCAAGTATAATATTAATCAATGAACCTCAGCCTCAAGCGACCTTTTAACCCCCAACATTTAAAATCTGTTACAGTAGACCCCCCAACTTACGAGCATTTCGACTTACAAGATGTTTAAAATCGAAGGTTATAACTTGACTTACGACAATGCGTAATATGTACCTTTTTGCGCATCATCCAATTATATTAAGTGAATCTTCGTAGTCAACAGTTGCTTGTTACTGTAATAAAGCTTGTAAGACAGGTTTTACCTGAGAGAGAAGACATAACCTCAATTCATTTGACATTTAATTTTTAATTGCTCATAATTCTTTCAAAACTGTTAATATTCTTTCTAAACCATCCAAAACGGGAAGATCAGTGTCAGTTACATTTAATTTATCAGATTTTGAACGATTTTGATTTTGGAAATTGGATTTTAAATTTGTAAATTTCAAACTTCTTTTGTGGTTGGAGAATTCTGAAACCTCCAATGGATGGCTGAAATAGAAGTTACATCCAGAGTAGTGAAGAATTAAAAAAGGTATTAATAAAATAAATTTTGGAATTTTGACTAGTTCAAAAGAAATTCGCTAATCCAATTCCCTAGGTATTCCCCGATTTTCTTGATATTACAGACATCATAGAGCAATTGTAATTGAACTCTTGAACGATAGATGTCTCTTATAGCCGATGTTGAACAATATTTTAATGTATATTTAGAGGGTTACCTTACTGGTAATATTACGGTAACTTAGCAGGTAATATTACTTAAATTACCTATAATATTACTTTTTGTAATTCCCGACGGTAATGAAAGCTATAACAGTACAAAAACGGGTGCTGTAATGAGACTCCTTACAGCATCCGATGCTGTAATGAGATTTTAGTAACATTTTATGGAACCAGTTCAAGTTGGTGACCTTGGATCATTAATTTTTCTAGTTGTCAATGTGACAATTTTTATCTATGGATGTTTAAACACGTTCTTAGCGTCGAATACAAGGTCCACAATGATGAGGATATTAAACTCTGAGCAATTCCTCTTATTATGGGAGGTGTACATCAAAAAAAAATTTTAGGTGAATATATTTTGTGTTTTGACAGTTTCTAATTGTCAATTCAAAGTTTCTATTTTGAAGTGTTACGGTGTTACCAACTGCTACATACCTATTTCCCTACATTGTCAAAATTTATTTTATTTTTGTTAAAAAAAAAGGATAAAAACGCGAATTACAAAAAATAGTATAAAGAACTTGTTTTTTAATATACTATTTTACATCACTAGTATGGGTGATACTTGTTGCGCTTTAATATTCCTAATATGCTGGTCTTCGATATTCCGGCGTCAATTGTAAGTCGTCGGATTTACCTCAACGCTAGCTAATACCGCAATTTCTTTTTCTTCCGTAGTTACAGTTGCTCGCCGAGTTCTTTTTCTTGATTCCACATTTCCAGTGTTAGTGAAATGATTTACAACTCTGTAAAAGGTACTTCTCGAACGCGTATTTCGATCAGGAAAACGTTCTCGATATAAAGCTATACTATCAGTAACTTTTTTCTGCCACTTTCTCCATAAATAATTATTATTTCGACATTCCTGCCACACTTAGAGTATCCATGACTTAGTTTAAACATTTTGCCTTAATGTAAAACGATGAAATGAATTCAAAATTTGTTGGCAAGCAGTTTTTATGCAAATTTAATAATAATAAATTAATAATGCAATTAAGTCTCTGAAAGCGATATTCTGAAAATGCTGACATAAGCAGTTCCACGAACTCTTGTTTTTTATACGTTATTCTATTATCAAATTGACAAAGGCGGAGAAATGTTGGAACCTTTTAGACCTCTTTCCAAAGGTGTCTCACGTTAATTGGACCATCCTGTATATTGTCAGAAGTTACAACAGCTTACCACGTAAAATTTTACGCACACAACAATTTAGAAAACACTCAATTTCACCAAAAAATGAGTTACTACAAATTTCGTTGCATGAGTCGATGTTAATCACTGAGCCTCAGTCACAAGCAACCTTGGTTTAATTAATCAAAAGATATGCAATCTTTTTCAATAAAACTGAGGCCGCTTGTGACTACAATATGATGACTAGGTTCAGATTGACATAATTAGATATAATCATACATTTTCTACTGTAATTAAAGTTGTAGCCGTCGATGCACTACAATATGATAATCATTTTCAGGTTGATATAGTATTAATCACTACGCAATGAACCTCTTTCGATAAAGCTGCGGCTGAGTCGTCATTATATGATGACCAGCTTCAAGTTGACATAATTAATCGACCCAACTTTATCGTCACTAGGGCTAAAGTGTTATTAGTGAATAAGTACTTAAAATACGTACAATTTTTTTAAAGTACAAAACGCTAGCCGAACAGCTAAGGTAGCCATGCTGCCAAAGTGAAGTGTGTTAGATTAGAAAAAAGAGGGACCACGTTACTGTTAATATTAAAGTCCCTAGATGTACAAAGTGCCAAAATGGCGGTTTGACAGCTTGTCACTCACCACTTATTTACAAAAATATTGCCGTCTTGTTGCCTTTGGAGTTGCAAAAAGGACTTTCAACTCTTCAGAGTACCACGAGAAAAAAAGAAATGAAATTTGGCGTAATGTTTTGGTTTGTAGTTTTAAATTTCCCGCTTGACTTTCGAGCCAAAATGGCGTCAAACCGCGGTACCAGAGACAAGGAAGGATAGAGATGGCCAACTCTACCTTATTAAATTGTACCTTGCGTACAGCGCCATCCGATGTCACCGCAGAGTACTAATCATAGATTAAAACCAACTTCGACTAGGATAATGGTGTAAAACTGGGCTAACCAACGATATGGCAACATTGTTCGCTGCGCATCGAAGCGAAGCGACCGACGTTGCCAGATCGTTGGGGCTAACTTTAACCGCCAAATTTAAAAATAACACAATTAATATTGCTTTGAAGAAAGGAAATAAATATATTTTAAATGAAAGATCTAATTTCAACATAATAATTTATTATTCTTAAAACTAATAAAATTTGGTTACATAAATAGAATATAAGTACGAAGGCTTTCACTGCCGGTGTAATTAAACTAGAACTAATAGTAGCACCATCGAAGACGACTCGAAATCACTTCGAAAGTTTGTAGCTCGTGTTAGTTCTAATGATAGTGCTATTATTAGTTCTAGTTTTAGTTCAATAAATACAATAATGTTACATTTTGTTTACCCTAACAGTTTTTGTAGCGTCTTCCTGGATGGTAATGAAAAGAAATTTGATAAGAACCGGTATCCTTTACCACTTTGTTTGTAAATGGAAATAGCCAGCACTTCTTTTTTCTGATTTCGGGACTGGCTGCTAAAGAAATTTCTAGTTTCTTTATTCAAATATTTGAGGTTCACCAATACCTGAGGATTTTTCCTCAATTGTATTAGCTTTTGCCTTATTATTCTGGCATTTTTCTCAGCGCGACACAACGTATTTTTTTGCTCCAGTTAGGTTGCAATTGCTGCAGTTCTTTGTAAAAGGTAATTTCCTCCGTTTCTTATCTACAAAAATAAAGATAATTTGAAATAAGAATGATTATTCAGTTTTTATGGTATTTACCAATTATTTCTTTTTCATCACTTAGGTGGAACCGTTTCCAATTCATTTCTAATGAAATGACAGAATTTTCCTCACAAAATGAGGTTGAAGCAATTTCGCAACCTTGTTGTTTACTACATCCAGGATAGACTTGCATAACAGTTGAACTAGTTACACCAGGAAGTTTGTCGGGGCATACATATGTGGGGGTATAAATATATATATATGGCATGTCGGGGTATAAACATATATAATATGGTATATAATGAATTATATAATTATGAATTATGAAACTAAATAATTAATTTCATACCATGCAGCATACCTGAAGTATCTTCTGTTGGTTGATCTTGTGGAGACAAAAAGCAATTATTTATAGTTTCTTCTTACAAATCTAAATGATTTAAAAAACATATATAGATTAAAAAACAAACTTTTTATCCAAAATTTCATTTACCTAGTAAGCATAATGTAGGTAGCTTTTTCAATTTCTTCTCAACATATTTGCACATTGTTGCAAAATGGTTGGGGCAAACACAATAGTTACTTAGACGCTTATCATTAATTAATTCAAATAATTTTGAATTGTGTATTCCAGAGAGCCAAGCCATTCGAATAATAGGGTCGGTCGGAAAATAATATCTAGAAATACAGAATGAAAGTAATTATGCTGTATTAATTAATAATTTTTATAATTTACCTTTTAATGTCTATCATCACAAGATGGTACACAGCAAGGATTAATAACCGACATTTTTATCATTTAAAAAATTTTAAATGTTTTTTACACTTTTTTACACTTAATTACAAAATTACACTCATAAATTACACTTATTAAAAAAATTAACTGATTTATCAATATCATTTATATTTGACATCACTCAAAAAAGAAATGAAATATAAGCCGCCTTAAAAGTTGTTTAAATTTGAATTTGTGTAGAATTAGTTATCGACGGTGACATCGGATGGCGTTGACGATGGTTACAATTTTCGTTCATTTGAGATCCCCCCCCATGCGCGGTACTTTGTAAATCTAGGGACTTTAGTTAATATGGCGGCATTACTTAGAAGTCGATAAAGTAGCTCCCAAACATTTAAAATCTAATAAAGTTTTCTATATTAATATGTTATTTATAAGCCACGCCAGTAATACTTCAACTGTGAAGTGCTAAAAATATATCACACAACAGTGACTAAGAAACTTTGTTTGTTAAATACCTACTTTATTTTTATTTATTTATTTTTTTTATTTTTTCCCTGTTTAATTTCTTTTAGTTACAGATTTTTCGATCGGGAAGTTTGTAGTCCTAACGATTCGATATCTTTACATCCCTTGAGTTCTTCGGGCGTTATTAAAACCCCAACGGCCCCAAGAACTCCCGATTCCACCTCGCAGAGTGGGTGAGTAATAAAAAAAACCTGCGAGTTTCGTTGTATTGAGCACTGACTTTTATTTTGTACATAAAATATTTAGATTTTAAGTTACCACTGTGTGCTAGAGTAAAAAATACATCATTTTCCAATTTGTGAGTTCCTAAAGAATTTTTTTGGGTGTTTTATTTTATTTTTTTTTTTTTGTTGAGTGAATGAGTGGGCGCACTTAATTATTTTTTTTAATGAAACGAGCGGTATTATTATCTATACTTATTAGTTTGTTTTTTTTTCTTTTTTGAATGTAATTTTTATCGTTTGTTCTTTTTTTGTTATAAATAAACGAATTGTTTTATTTAATTCCTTTTTTTTTAGTTGATCCATTTTTTATGACCAAGTTGAAAATTAATAAAATCTTTCCAGAATCAGACACGTAATTGGATTTGATACGCCTGATACAACAAAGTTATATAACGAAACTTTCATAATCGATCAAGTTATAGATACATTACAAGCGGTCGATATAAAAAATTCAAACGATTTAATAGCTTTAGACACTGAAGTGAGCAATACGAAAGTAACCACGGAAGAAAACACAACTCAAAAAGATTTAACCTTATTGAGCGAAAACTTGGATTTAAAAAAACTTCCTAATTTAAACTGTTCGACGAACTCGTTAAACTCCGAAAATTTATCCTCGCCAATGCAAACCAGTACGGATATGTTCGTGGATTCCGAAGTACTCTCAACAGATTCGCAATCGCCGAAAACCGCGGATAAACCCGCAAAAGCGGAAGTTTCAAAATACGACTATAAAAAAAAAACCGTTTACGATTCGAACGAAACTTTTTCATTAACAAAAAGCGACCAAAGTCTTTTAAATTCCGCGGAAAGTGACGACAGTTCCCCGGTACATAAAGCTCCAAGGGATTACAAAAAAGTTCAACGCCGATACAAAACGAAAAAATATTTCGGCGTGAAAACGTTGCAGAGTATTTTTGGAAAACACAACGGTTATTCGGACGTTTCGAGCACCGCATCGGATTTCGGGGACGATTTGAATCAGAATAAACCCGAAAGTTGTTACAAAGAAATAGGAACCGATTCGGAAAACGCTAATTTAATCGATATCTCATCGCATGAAAACAATAATTTATCAAACTCCGTTGAGACGACGCCCCAATTCGAAGAAAACATTCATAGCATACTATCAGAAATGTTTCGGAGAAATTTCGACTTACAAAAAATTGATGCGACGACAACAACTCAATCAAAAACCACAAAAAAATCTTTACGCGTTGGAAAAGCTTTAAGATTATGTCCCAACGATGAATTTTCATACGGAAACGTTTACAACGATCAAAAACGTGAAAAATTACTCGCACGATACGTTTACAATGCAAATTGTTTGAACGCCGACGGAGTTGGGGATCCAGATTTTGGAACTCCAGTTTAAAATTATAACTTGTAATAACGATAAGGAAGAAAAGAGGGATTAAGTAATGAAGAAAACACTTGAAACGGTTGTGTTTAGCGTTTACTTAGAATTAAAAAAACAGTTATAGGAAAGCAAAGATATTGTAATACATCAAATTGAAAGTGATTTAAAAGTGAGAAAAAAATTTTATTTAATTTTTTGTTAATTTTAGATACAGGTTCATTTAAAATGGGAGGTTTGTGTTGCATCTAATTCGGAATCAATCTTGTTTATATTAAAGTAAAATCTCGATATAACGGATTAATATGGGGGAGGAAATGAATAATTTTGATGTACGGAATTTCAAACAACTTCTACTTGTGGTTCAATAAAAATATACAACAATTTAGCACTAAATAACAAATAAAACTAGAACTAACACTAGAACTAGAAATATTCGGGTTTAGCCGTGCGTCTAAAGATGGCTAAACCCGAATGATTCTAGTTTTAAGCCTTGTGTTAGTTCTAGTGATAGCTCTAGTGTAAAACTAGAACTAGAAACATTCCGGTTTAGCCGCACGTCTTTCAAGACGGCTAAACCCGAATGATTCTAATTCTAGCTCTTGTGTTAGTTCTTATGATAGTGTAAAACTAGAACTAACACTAGACCTAGAACTAGAACATTCGGGTTTAGCCGCACGTCTTTCAAGATGGCTAAACCCAAATGACTCCAGTTTGACGACGCACGGCTAAACTTTCTAGTTCCAGGTCTAGTGTTAGTTCTAGTTTTATTTGTTATTCAGCGCTAGATTGTATATTTTTATTGAAGTAGTTGAAAGGTTAAATATTAGAAAAATATGTATATTAGATTATATAGTAGAACTAGAATCATTCGGGTTTACCCGTCTTTAGAGACGTGTGGCTAAACCAGAATGATACTAGTTTTAGGTTCACCAACTGTCAACGTTTGCAAACGGAGACCAAACGGTTGGCAACATTTCTCGTGAACGCAATGCTAACTTCAAACGTGTTTGGTAAACGGCCGCCATTTTATCAATCGTATGATTTTTCCGTTAGCAATCGCAAACTGTGTTTGGTGTTTGTGTCATCTTAAATTTAAAATCAACAAACAAGAATGGCAGAAGCCCGAAATTATTTACATATTTAATGGGTTAGTGTACACTATCTTTGAAAATGAAGAAATTCATGGTAAATTGAGCAGTATGTACCTATAAATTAATTAAAATTGTAAATCAATGTCATTAAAGCGCCATCTGTTGTTATCAAACCATATGTCTATAGAAAAATTGGCCGTTCACCAAATCACCAACGCAATCGTAACCCGTTTGCGTTTCCCAACGTAAACGGAATTCTCTGGTGAACGTGCCCAGTGCTAGTGTAAAACTAGAACTAACACTAGACCTAGAACTAGAATGTTTCGGCTGAAGACGCATGGCTAAACCTATTAATGTCATCCTAACGTTTAAACGTCTTTTTGACGTTTAAAAACCACAACACATGTCATATCCCTAAACTGGTACCAACCTAAGTTTATGGAAATCTTTTAATGAATATCGAATATTTCATACTAGTTTTTTTATAACTTTTGATTTATAGTAATATATTTCGCTAATTTTAGTATTTCTGTAAGATTTTTTATATTACGTATGATTTTTGAAATCTAGATTTTTAACGATATTGACGTTTAATTGCCAAATTGACGTTTAAAAGTTAAATAATTAAATCGTAAAGTTATTAAACTTAAAATTTATTATAAGAACTTAGACGCACGGCTAAACCCGAAACTTTCTAGTTCCTCAAAACTAGTATCATTCTGGTTTAGCCACACGTCTCTAAAGACGGCTAAACCGGAATGATTCTAGTTCTAGATCTTGCGTTAGTTCTTGTACATTGTAAAACTAGAACTAATACTAGACCTAGAACTAGAAAGTTTCGGCCTAAGATGCTTGGCTAAACCTACAAATGTCATCTTAACGTTTAAACGTCATTTTGACGTTTAAAAACCACAACATATGTCATATCCCTAAAATGGTACCAACCTAAGTTTATAGAAAATCTTTTGATGAATATCGAATATTTCATACCAGTTTTTTTATAACTTTTTNCCCTAAACTGGTACCAACCTAAGTTTATGGAAATCTTTTAATGAATATCGAATATTTCATACTGGTTTTTTTATAACTTTTTTGATTTATAGTAATATATTTCGCTAATTTTAGTATTTCCGTAAGATTTTTTATATTAAATTAACTGATTTTTGAAATCTAGATTTTTAACGATATTGACGTTTAATTGTCAAATTGACGTTTAAAAGTTAAATAATTAAATCGTAAAATTATTAAACTTAAAATTTATTATAAGAAATTAGACGCACGGCTAAACCCGAAACTTTCTAGTTCTAGGCCTAGTGCTAGTTCTAGTAACAGTGCTAGTGTAATACTAGAACTAACACTAGACCTAGAACTAGAAAGTTTCGGCCTAAGATGCATGGCTAAACCTACAAATGTCATCTTAACGTTTAAACGTCATTTTGACGTTTAAAAACCACAACATGTCATATCCCTAAAATGGTACCAACCTAGGTTTATAGAAAATCTTTTGATGAATGTCGAATATTTCATACCAGTTTTTTTTTATAACTTTTTTGATTTATAGTAATATATTTCGCTGGTTTTAGTATTTCCATAAGATTGTTTTATATTAAATTAACTGGTTTTTGAGTTTTTTGAAATCTAGATTTTTAACGATATTGACGTTTAATGGTCAAATTGACGTTTAAAAGTCAAATAATTAAATCGTAAAGTTGTAAACTTAAAATTTATTATAAGAACTTAGAGGCAGTGCTAAACCCGAAACTTTCTAGTTCTAGGTCTAGTGTTAGTTCTAGTTTTGCACTGTAACAAGAACTAACACAAGATCTAGAACTAGAATCATTCGGGTTTAGCCGTCTTTAGAGACGTGTGGCTAAACCAGAATGATACTAGTTTTGAGGTCTTGTGTTAGTTCTAGTAACAGTGCTAGTGTAATACTAGACCTAGAACTAGAAAGTTTCGGCCTAAGATGCAAGGCTAAACCTACAAATGTCATCTTAACGTTTAAACGTCATTTTGACGTTTAAAAACCACAACATATGTCANCTAGTTTTACACTAACATTATCACTAGAACTAACACAAGACCTAGAACTGGAATCATTTGGGTTTAGCCGTCTTGAGAGACGTGCGGCTAAACCCGAATGATTCTAGTTCTAGATCTTGTGTTAGTTCTAGTGATAGTGCTAGTGGAATACTAACATTTCGAGAACTAGAATCATTTGGGTTTAGCCGTCTTGAAAGACGTGTGGCTAAACCCAAATGTTTCTAGTTCTCGATCTTTTAGTATTCCACTAGAACTCACACATAAGACCTAGACCTGAAATCATTCGGGTTTAGCTGTCTTAAGAGGTGTGGCTAAACCCTAATATTTCTAGCTCTAGGTCTAACGTTAATTCTAGTTTTACACTAGCACTGTTACTATGTAGAACTAACACTATAACATCCGAATGTTTTTAGTTAGTATATAACAAGTAATATCCAAAGTCCATTCTAACAAGATCTGTTGTATCAAAGTTTTACTGTATTGGAACATTGAAAAAAATTCTACCTCAACTAAAATTATTAACCACAATAAAAAAGTATTAACTACTTTTAAATCACCTCTAATCACTTAAAGCTTTTAAAACAAGAAAAAGTAAATCAAATCTGATATATTACAATACTTTTTTCTAGGATAGAGGAATAGAAAGTCTTAAAACGCAGAAGATACATGTGATATTTATTTAGTTTAGAATCTCTCCGGGGAAATTTTGACGAGAAATACACACGAGCTTTTTTTGTAGATGAAAATCAAAAAAAGAAAAAGTTTAAAGTAAACAAATTACTAATAGAACGAGGAATAATTAAAAAAAAAGCTCCATGATATATAAAAAAAGCTCTATTTAATTACAGATTTCGTATTTTTCTTCCATCATTTTAAGTTATTATCACGTTTTTAACGAGACTAAAAGAGACTCCTTATTTATTATTACGTACAAATTACAATTTACAAAAAAGGAAAACAAATTAAAAGAAAATTCTTAGTCGAAACTAGCAACGTTCACCACACACGAAAAATGCCTTCTTTATACGAAAGATTTAACGTGGAATAAAATCTATATTGTATGCTTTAGCTTTTTTACAGTATTAGTGAGACGTGTTAAATTACTATTACGTATATTACGAAAAGTAAATGAAAATTCGATCAGTTTCGTGTCGAACTCTAATCTTTCTCTTAGCATAGCTAAATACTATTTACAAAAAATGAAACGGCGCTGCTCAAAATGAAACGCGATTTCTCATAATCAAAATAAAAAAAAAGGGAAACTAACATACGATTATTTCCAGGTTATTTATTATAGTATTACACTATTATTCAATCGTCATGTTATCGTTGGAACATATCTGTGACTTAATAAATCTTTGCTGCTCTGATATTTTTTTGTATTTTATTCTAATTTCCTATTCTTACAAACATATTTATATCTAACAGAAAATGGACAAGAAGAAAAGGTGAGTTCTATTCTTAGAATAGGACAACGAAACATTAGAAGCGTGAATTTATCAAGTATTTCAAAGTCCGCAAGTGAAGGTAGTATTAAAGATGTGGGAAGATTATTTAGTGCTGGCAGAAATCCAAAAACTGTAGACATGAAACTAAATACTATCAAAGGTCCTTATAAAAGACTTAATATCGATAGCAGAAAACTAGATATTATATATTGCATATTCATACTGAAACATGATACTGTTATTACAAGAGTAAATACTTCTTGCAGAGACTACTTCTTGTTTGCAGAACTAGATCTTGCTGATACAAGTCTAGATACTGCTAATGGAATACTACATCCTCTTTATAAAAATTTATTCGATATATATATGATAAGATTAAGGTTGAAAGATAAAGATGGAATGTCGTGTATGGGAGGGGATACACTTCAACATATTTTGCTTGAGAGTAGTGAGCCGAATTGAATGAAAGATGAGTTAGTAATGAGTTTGGATGACTGATAGGAATATAGCAAGTTAATGTAATAAAGGTAAATTTCGCTTTTAAATACATTTATTAGGGCAGGTTAATACAATATCGATACAATGAGTAAATTTTAAATAGCATCTGACGTTTCTTTTTTTAATATCGAATACTGACACGTGCGCACGAAGCGTTTAATACAAAAGAGAGGAAATAAAAAAAAATATTACCTAAGACATTGTTTTGCGTTAAAAAAAAAATTACAATAATTATATGAGATTCCATTGATCTGATAATTAAAAAAAATACACCAACGAGTGCGCTCTCTAATGGAAATATATCGATTTATCACAATATGCGAGTATCATCATAATAATTAGCGAGATTGAGATTATAGTTTTTTTTTCTTTAAATATTATAATAATAGTTTTATAGCACCACAACGCTCGTTTATGATTTATTTTAAGTCACACGAATAGTACTTGTTACAAAAACGTACCATAAGCGAACTTAAGGCAGTTATTATTTCCTGAATACGTTTACTTATTTGTTTAATAATTCTTTTAAAATATTCTAAGCTACTACTTAAATAGTAAATATAATAATAATAAATTATATACAATAAATACGTTTATAATAAATAATATATATACAGTTTCTTTGGTTTTCGGTATAAATTTAATTTTATTCGGATTCTATTTATTTCTGGTTATGTTGGTTATCAAATTATAAATTAATATTCATTAATAACATTGACCAAAATAAATATTAAAGATTTTTCCTAGAAAAAAAAATCAAAAATTACATTATTTATTAAATTAGAGTAAAACCTCGATATAACAGATAAAATATTTTTAAGTCATACTATTAATATATATGACATGGAACCGAGGTACTAGAGTTATGTTATTTGAGTTAATCATGTTATATAATAGAGCTCTGCTGCCGAGGCATTTGCACCAATACTCGAAGAACAGGCAGTAAATGTTATTTTTTATAACGATATATCATTTGGAACCGAGACAGCTATGCTGCCGAGGCAGTAGAGTAAATATACATTTAAAAAGAGTTTAAAACTGTTATTCGAGTTAATCATGTTATATAATAGCCTCCGCAGTTAATTTTCAACAAGAACGTGTTATATTAGAAACCGAGGCAGCTCTGCTGCCGAGGCATTTGTACCAATACTCGAAGAACAAGCAGTAAATGTTATTTTTTATAACGATATATCATTTGGAACCGAGGCAGCAAAGCTGCTGAGGTAGTAGATACATTAAAAAAGATTTTAAAACAGTTATTCGAGTTAATCATGTTATATAATAGCCTCAACAGCTCTGCTATTGAGGCAGTAGCTCCATCAGTTCGAAAATAAACAATTAACCTTAATTTTCAACAAGAACGTGTTATATTAGAAACCGAGGCAGCTCTGCTGCCGAGGCATTTGCACCAATACTCGAAGAACAGGCAGTAAATGTTATTTTTTACAATGATATATAATTTGGAACCGAGGCAGCTATGCTGCCGAGGTAGTAGAGTGTAGATACATTAAAAAAAGATTTTAAAACTGTTATTCGAGTTAATCATGTTATATAATAGCCTCAGCAGCTCTGCTATTGAGGCAGTAGCGCCATCAGTTCAAAAATAAACAATAAACTTTAATTTCAAACAAGAACGTGTTATATTAGTAACCGAGGCAGCTCTGCTGCCGAGGCATTTGCACTAATACTCGAAGAACAGGCAGTAAATGTTATCTTTTACAACGATATATCATTTGGAACCGAGGCAGCAAAGCTGCTGAGGTAGTAGATACATTAAAAAAGATTTTAAAACTGTTATTCGAGTTAATCATGTTATACAGTAGCATTAGCAGCTCTGCTATTGAGGCAGTAGCTCCATCAGTTCAAAAATAAACAATTAACCTTAATTTTCAACAAGAACGTGTTATGTTAGAAACCGAGGCAGCTTTGCTGCCGAGGCATTTGCACCAATACTCGAAGAACAGGCAGTAAATGTTATGTTTTACAACGATATATCATTTGGAACCGAGGCAGAAAAGCTGCCGAGGTAGTAGATACATTAAAAAAGATTTTAAAACTGTTATTCGAGTTAATCATGTTATACAGTAGTATTAGCAGCTCTGCTATTGAGGCAGTAGCTCCATCAGTTCAAAAATAAACAATAAACCTTAATTTCAAACAAGAACGTGTTATATTAGAAACCGAGGCAGCTCTGCTGCCGAGGCATTTGCACCAATACTCAAAGAACAGGCAGTAAATGTTATTTTTTACAATGATATATCATTTGGAACCGAGGCAGTAGAGTTTGTATACATTTAAAAAGAGTTTAAAACTGTTATTCGAGTTAATCATGTTATATAATAGCCTCAGCAGCTCTGCTATTGAGGCAGTAGCGCCATCAGTTCAAAAATAAACAATAAACCTTAATTTTCAACAAGAACGTGTTATATTAGAAGCCGAGGCAGCTCTGCTGCCGAGGCATTTGCACCAATACTCGAAGAAGAGGTAGTAAATGTTATCTTTTACAACGATATATCGTTTGGAACCGAGGCAGGAAAGCTGCTGAGGTAGTAGATACATTAAAAAAGATTTTAAAACTGTTATTCGAATTAATCATGTTATACAATAGCATTAGCAGCTCTGCTATTGAGGCAGTAGCTCCATCAGTTTAAAAATAAACAATTAACCTTAATTTTCAACAAGAACGTGTTATATTAGAAACCGAGGCAGCTCTGCTGCCGAGGCATTTGCACCAATACTCGAAGAACAGGCAGTAAATGTTATTTTTTACACTGATAAATCATTTGGAACCGAGGCAGCTCTGCTGCCGAGGCATTTGCACCAATACTCGAAGAATAGGCTGTAAATGTTTAAACAACATTTAAATAACATTTAAAAAGGCATTAAAACTGTTTCTCTTCTTCTTTCTAAGTCTAAGTCGAGTATTAGTTCTTTTTTTAGTTAGTATTCAATGCTAGATTGTTGTATATATTTTTTTAATCAGTTATATCGAGGTTTTACTGTAATTAATCTTTTAATTTACCATTTTGAAGTTGAATCTATCTTTTGGCGTCAGCTTCATCCTCATTCATGAACTCTCCTACTGAAAACATAACCAAAGTAGTAAATGATTATAAGGGTAAAAAATGATTTAATTAATTTTTATTGGATTTGAGATAATAATTGAAGTTATAAAAAAATAAATTGTGCACTTTGTTAGTTAAAAATTATTTTCAAATAAATAAGTGGTAGTCCATATAGAAGTACATGCCTTTTACATAAAGCGACAAATGATGACATAAAAAACAACAATTAATTAACAAGAAGACAATTAAACATGCTATTAGTATACATCTTTAACTCACAACAAATGATTAAGGCTTTTAAACATTAGTACAAAGATTATTACAAATTAATTTTAATTAAGAAAGAATATGTTAATTCGAATATTGAGGTTTTGGTGTGTGTATATTTTTTTTAGTCATCGTACATACCTAGTTTTTTTAATCATTTTGATTTCCTAGGTTGCGAATTCCTCCTCGGATAACTACACTATTTCTTATTGGGGGGGTCAAGAAGAAAAATTGAAACGCGACCAATTCATTTCAGATTTATTTCGATAGAGTTGTACAGGTTTTTTTTTATACATTTTAAATTTGTTGTGAGTAATAGATGCATTAATAAATAAATATAATTACATGACTTTATACAAAAAGTGTACTTATATGACTACCAAAATTCTTTTTCGGTCCCTTTCGACAAAATCGTACCGATTTCCGACCATTAATTGCATTAGAGGTTTACCTTGAACGTGAATTAAAATTAAAATTAAACAGTCTTGTGTACAATATCGTTTCGGCATCATCATCATCATCGTCAATCTTATTGTCGTTTACTTTTCGTATTTTTTTTTTACAAATGTACAATAACGAGATTTACTTTTGGGTCAATTTTCTTTCAAGTCCGAGTATATAAGTCTATTTACAAAATTTATTTTAATTTTCGAATGAATCAAAATCGATTTTTTTTTTTAGGGTGATCAATTTTTGCAAAAATGACTTATATTGTATTGAGGTAGATTGCATGAGGTTATATTTTGCTGATACGTACTGGTTTTTTCATTACATCTTTGGCCCTGAAAATTATTCTTGCATCTGAAAATTAAAACATACAAAATATTTTTAAGTGTTAAGTTAAAAAAAAATTTGAAAAAATAAATCCTGAAAGAATTTTATCAAATTTTGGGTTTAACAGTATTTAGTCTTCTGACAACAACATTTACTCCTCTGCCAGCAGTATCCGGTTTGCCCCTGACCATATTTACTCTTCTGCAAACAGTATCTAGTCTTCTGCCAGCATTATCTAATCTTCTATTTGCAGTAAATAGATTTCTGCTACCAGTATGTAATCATAGTAATGGTCAAATATTTTAAATTAAAAGCATATAGTTGAATTAACAAGTTATAGAGTTATACTTCTAATAATAAGTATAATATAAATTTAATTAAATTTTGAATTAAACCAAATTAAGTTAATTTTCAACCAGATTTGTTTATAAATCTTTTATTTGAAAAAAAAAAGTGATTTAGTTCAGGATTTGTTTTTTCAATTTTGTCAGTGCACAGCTGTGCGGTCTTTGGCATACTAACACACAAAACGCTCCTAAGATATCCGTCACGAAGCAGTCGCCGTTAATGCACATGGCACTCACGGTCTTGTTGCACGGCATAAGACCTGAAACAGGAAAAGCTCCCTTTCAGTGTGTGATTCCTAACCGCACACACCACTCCCATACACGTCGCCGGTACGACACCCATTGTAAAATTACACCTCTAAGCTCGAGTACTGCCAAACCATTATATGTTTTTGTCAAGTTGCCAACGATTGCGTAAAGGCGCTAGACGGGGGCCCCCTGTTTATGTTCGTTAGCGCCTTGTTCCGAACGCGGACGTCGCGCTTTTATGATTCTCCTTTACTTCACTCATGCCGAAATAATTCCTATTTATGAGCTCGTTTTACATTACGAGTTTCACATAAAATTATAACTTAACCATCATTCTATGTTCAATTGTTTATTTGAGACGTTAAATTAACGTTTCAGATTTATTACATCTAATTTATGAATCTGATTTAAGCTATTTATTATCATTGCTTATTTAACACACATTATCAAATGTGTAAACATACAATGGTTTGGAGAAAACTCTAGGTGGCGTACCAAAAAAAAAATAATAATAAAATTTATTTGATTTACCTTTAAAGCTTATATTACCTTCATCCAATACAGTATCTTCACTTATCTCAATGGTGTTATTAAGGCCTTCGGTCTGGCACCGATACCTTCCATAGTCGTTTTTATTCGTCTCGTTAAAAATGAGAGTCGATGATCGTCTGAAAATATATTAATATTACTATACATTTAATGAAAATGTTATTATTAAATTATTAAGTAATTCAGTTCATATTGGACAAAACAAATACAGGGTTGAGTTCAAAAAGTATTATCTCAAAAACGAATTGAGATTTTCAAGTACGGTTTTTTCTATGAAAAAGGGGACACCTTCTTTTATAAATCACCAAAGTTTCATCAAGATATCTTAAGAATTCGATTTTTCACAATTTTTTGAAAACAATAGTTAAAAGTTATCAACATCATAAAGCGATTAAAATTTTGGTTGCGTTCAAAAAGTATTATCTCAAAAACGAATTGAGATTTTCAAGTACGGTTTTTTCTATGAAAAAGGGGACACCTCCCTCTATAAATCACCAACGTTTCATAGAGATATCTTAAGAATTGGATTTTTCACGATTTTTTAAAAATGATAGTTAAAAGTTCACAACATCATAAAGCGATTAAAATTTGGGTTGGATTCAAACCTTAGTATCTCAAAAACGAATTGAGATTTTTAAATACGGGTTTTTCTATGAAAAAGGAGACACCTCCCTCTATAAATCACCAACCTTTCATCAAGATATCTTAAGAATTCGATTTTTTATGATTTTTTAAAAGTGATTTAAGAGTTGTATATTTCATAAATCGATTTGGATTCAAAAATGATTATCTCAGAAACTAGTATAGATTTTCAAAAACGGCTTTCTTCATTAAAAAGCATACACCTCTCTCTATAAATCGATATCATTTCATTAAGATATCTTAAGAATTAGATTTTTTACGATTTTTTAAAATTGATTGCAAAAAGTTGTCAATTCAAATTTGGGTTGGGTTCAAAACTTATTATCTCAAAAACGAATTGAAATTTTCAAGTACGGTTTTTTCTATGAAAAAGGAGACACCTTCCTCTATAAATCACCAATGTTTCATCAAGATATCTTAAGAATTCGATTTTTTACGATTTTTTTTAAATTGATTGCAAAAAGTTATCAAGTCAAATTTGGGTTGGGTTCAAAAATTATTATCTCAAAAACGAAATGAAATTTTCAAGCACGGTTTTATCCATGAAAAAGTGCATACCTCCCCTTACAAATCACCAACGTTTCATGACGATATCTTAAGAATTCGATTTTTTACGATTTTTTAAAAATATTAATTAAACGTTGGCAATATCATAAAGCGATTATAATTTGGGTTGGGTTCAAAACTTATTATCTCAAAAACGAATTGAGATTTTCAAGTACGGTTTTTTCTATGAAAAAGAAGACACCTTCCTCTATAAATCACCAATGTTTCATCAAGATATCTTAAGAATTCGATTTTTTACGATTTTTTAAAAGTGATTGTAAAAGTTGTAAATTTCATAAATCGATTAAAATTCGGGTTGGATTCAAAAATGATTATCTCAGAAACTAATATAGATTTTCAAAAACGGCTTTCTTCATTAAAAAGTATACACCTCCCTCTATAAATCGATATCATTTCATCAAGATATCTTAAGAATTTTTATGATTTTTTAAAAGTGATTGTAAAAGTTGTAAATTTCATAAATCGATTAAAATTCGGGTTGGATTCAAAAATGATTATCTCAGAAACTAAGATAGATTTTCAAAAACGGCTTTCTTCATTAAAAAGTATACACCTCCCTTTATAAATTGATATCATTTCATCAAGATATCTTAAGAATTAGATTTGTTACGATTTTTTAAAATTGATTGCAAAAAGTTGCCAATTCAAATTTGGGTTGGGTTCAAAAATTATTATCTCAAAAACGAATTGAGATTTTCAAGTACGGTTTTTTCTATGAAAAAGGAGACACCTTCCTCTATAAATCACCAATGTTTCATCAAGATATCTTAAGAATTCGATTTTTTAAAATTGATTGCAAAAAGTTGTCAATTCAAATTTGGGTTGGGTTCAAAAATTATTATCTCAAAAACGAATTGAGATTTTCAAGTACGGTTTTTTCTATGAAAAAGGAGACACCTTCCTCTATAAATCACCAATGTTTCATCAAGATATCTTAAGAATTCGATTTGTTATGATTTTTTAAAAGTGATTGTAAAAGTTGTAAATTTCATAAATCGATTAAAATTCGCGTTGGATTCAAAAATGATTATCTCAGAAACTAATATATATTTTCAAAAACGGCTTTCTTTATTAAAAAGTAGACACCTCGCTCTATAAATCGATATCGTTTCATCAAGATATTTTAAGAATTCAATTTTTTACGATTTTTTAAAATTGATTGCAAAAAGTTGTCAATTCAAATTTGGGTTGAGTTCAAAACTTATTATGTCAAAAACGAATTGAGATTTTCAAGTACGGTTTTTTCTATGAAAAAGGAGACACCTTCCTCTATAAATCACTAATGTTTCATCAATATATCTTAAGAATACGATTTTTTATGATTTTTTAAAAGTGATTGTAAAAGTTGTAAATTTCATAAATCGATTAAAATTCGAGTTGGATTCAAAAATGATTATCTCAGAAATTAATATAGATTTTCAAAAACGGCTTTCTTCATTAAAAAGTATACACCTCCCTCTACAAATCAATATCATTTCATCAAGATATCTTAAGAATTCGATTTTTTACGATTTTTTAAAAATTGATTGCAAAAAGTTGTCAATTCAAATTTGGGTTGGGTTCAAAAATTATTATCTCAAAAACGAATTGCGATTTTCAAGTACGGTTTTTTCTATGAAAAAGGAGACACCTTCCTCTATAAATCACCAATGTTTCATCAAGATATCTTAAGAATTCGATTTTTTATGATTTTTTAAAAGTGATTGTAAAAGTTGTAAATTTCATAAATCGATTAAAATTCGGGTTGGATTCAAAAATGATTATCTCAGAAACTAATATAGATTTTCAAAAACGGCTTTCTTCATTAAAAAGTATACACCTCCCTCTATAAATCGATATCATTTCATCAAAATATCTTAAGAATTCGATTTTTTACGATTTTTTAAAAATAATAGTTAAACGTTGACAATATCATAAAGCGATTAAAATTTGGGTTGGGTTCAAAACTTATTATCTCAAAAACGAATTGAGATTTTCAAGTACGGTTTTTTCTATGAAAAAGGAGACACCTCCCTCTATAAATCACCAATATTTCATCAAGATATCTTAAGAATTCGATTTTTTAAAATTGATTGCAAAAAGTTGTCAATTCAAATTTGGGTTGGGTTCAAAAATTATTATCTCAAAAACGAATTGAGATTTTCAAGTACGGTTTTTTCTATGAAAAAGGAGACACCTTTCTCTATAAATCACCAATATTTCATCAAGATATCTTAAGAATTCGATTTTTTAAAATTGATTGCAAAAAGTTGTCAATTCAAATTTGGGTTGGGTTCAAAAATTATTATCTCAAAAACGAATTGAGATTTTCAAGTACGGTTTTTTCTATGAAAAAGGAGACACCTTCCTCTATAAATCACCAATGTTTCATCAAGATATCTTAAGAATTCGATTTTTTATGATTTTTTAAAAGTGATTGTAAAAGTTGTAAATTTCATAAATCGATTAAAATTTGGGTTGGATTCAAAAATGATTATCTCAGAAACTAATATAGATTTTCAAAAACGGCCTTCTTCATTAAAAAGTATACACTTCCCTCTATAAATCGATATCATTTCATCAAGATATCTTAAGATTACGATTTTTTAAAATTGATTGCAAAAAGTTGTCAATTCAAATTTGGGTTGGGTTCAAAAATTATTATCTCAAAAACGAATTGAGATTTTCAAGTACGGTTTTTTCTATGAAAAAGGAGACACCTTCCTCTATAAATCACCAATGTTTCATCAAGATATCTTAAGAATTCGATTTTTTATGATTTTTTAAAAGTGAGTGTAAAAGTAGTAAATTTCATAAATCGATTAAAATTCGCGTTGGATTCAAAAATGATTATCTCAAAAACGAACTAAAATTTTCAAGTACAGTTTTTCTATGAAAAAACCTCCCTCTATATCGTCAACGTTTCATCAAGATATCTTAAGAGTTTGATTTTTTACGATTTTTTAATAGTTGCAACAAATTATCATCTTTCTAAAGTATAAATAATATTATATAAAATATATATTGGACTCTTAGTTTTATAAATTCGAGAGAGGGTTAAATTGGGTTCAAATTGATTTAATAATAAAAATAATTTTTCTTACCGTGAATAGGTGATTTTGTGATTTTTCTGCGGCAGGAATCGTTGGTCATCCTTATACCAATAAATAAGTGGTGTTGGAAAACCCTTGGCCTTGCACGTAATCTTGTGCTTTCTCTTCTTGTACGTCCTGTCTAGCGTCGGCTTCTTCAGCAACTGTGCTGGAAGAATACAGAAATAAAGGGGTAAATCGACGTCAGGAACTGTTCAATGTATTTCTACGTAAACGGAAAGATAAATCAGCGTAATGGGCTGAGTGTAAACAAGGTCTAGGTTTTTCGGGCGTTCGACTTGAAAGGAGGAGGGTAAAAAATAGATGCCCAGAATAGAAAATATATCCATCAGAGGTGGACGAAGAAATGTTTATTATGTAAATAAGGTATTGAGTTTTAAGATGTCAGTTAGCCGGCAAGTTTATTAGTCGGTTTTGCAGTTTGTGGAACGGTGGTTTTTGGGCAGCAGGAGGGGTTCGGCGAAAAAAGCGATTTGAAGTGGGTTTTATAAATTAAACATGGTGGCCGGCGCGCGGGGCATAGGATTCCACGAGACGGACCTTTTTTTATAACGGTCCTCGGCGGGCGCATTGTTTCATTATAATTTCTACTTATTCCGGTCCAGTTCCACATTTGGAATGTGAAAATAAAATAAGGACAGCAGGACGATACTCGCGCCCGGCTCTCTTTTTGGAGCGCGTTCGTGTTTTGGTAGAAAAGTGATATTACCAAATAAACGGCCGATTCCAAGAATGCATTTTAGCGGCGCACGCGTGCTGAATATTAAATTTTAAACAATGCATCGGAATCCGTTAATAGTTCGGGCCAAATATGTACAGATGCGGCCGAAATATGCGTCCAAGCCGAAATGGGCAGTCGGTCTGGATTGTATTTTAATTCGATCCCGCTTTAGTATGCCGTTTATCTAATGCGACAGATTTTTTCCTTAACATCCCACCATAGAAGGTGAACGGACACAAACAGAAAATATTTTACTACTTTTCATATAATCGAAACAAACCTTTTTTATTCCATTTATTACCCACATTTTGCACCCACCAGGCAGATGACTAAATCGTTAATGTACATTTTTTGCAATGTGGGTCTGAAAATTATGCGCTCATCAATATGTAACTTTTTTAACCGGAAAAGTTTTAATTAATAATTTTTGTTGAAAAAAAAAAGCTAAAGTTGTATTTTTGGAAAACCATTAACGCGAATCTCTCAGGCGGGAAAGCGAGTGTCTCGAAAATTGGCAACGTTGAGAAGAAAGCGAAACCCGAAAGCGTTAATAGTCGGTCGTGGTGATGTACACGGGTAACGCATTTAGCCACTTGCACTTGCACTCGTCTATTTTACACGGAAATTTCTTCGATTCCAAATATTGCCCCCGGATGTAACCCAAATTTATGCGATCATGATGCGTAATAAGGTGAATTTCGATCAAACCAGACTCTCCTAAACAACACCTGAGAGAAGACCTTCGAGCTAAATCTGTCTCTAGTTCTCATCCTAGTTTCGAAAGATCTCATCGGTGTACTTCTGGCATCTAAACTTAAATCTTTACAAAAAAAAATCTTAAAATATTAACTCAATTAAATTAATTTATATTAATTTTGCTTTTTTTGCAAGTTTTAGTTTAAAATAAAGTAAAATTATATACAATGTATTTAATGGGTAAATTGTAATTTGGCGACGATTTCGAGTGAGTTAGCAAGATAGAATTTCCCGGCGTCTGGAAGTGATGGCACCAAGCCAAATGATTCACGGTACCCAGGATATGGTAGCCCACACCTTAGGCACACGGTCTATTGCCCCACAGTGCCGCAAAATTTCGAATGCTTGCGTCGCGACGCCTTCTCCGTCTCCCTTGTGGAGTTTCGTTTTTCCGATAAAGGTTTTTGACACGAAACCCGCGCACAACCTGTTTGTCGTAACCACTCCTGGCACGGGAACAACACAAAAATAAGTTTATTGCACTCGATGTACATTCAAACAAAATTCATTACACTAGTCAAATTTTCTTTTTGTAAAAATCGAATTAATTTTAAAGCCCATTTGTAGTTCCAAGGTTTCCTAATCAAAACAAGTATCCAAGCCAAATCTTAATTCTTGACCACAAAGTTACAGAGCTCTTCCGTTACAGAGAAACTATAGACAAGTTATAAAGCTCATCAAAGTTGAAAAGTATCGCAATAAATAGCTTCTTTTGTAACGCAGAGAATAGCGAGGTTGTAAGAGTAGCTCAATCTGGGAAGAGTAGCTCACAGAGTAGCTTGCTATCTTGGGCTACTCCTGCTACACTGAGAAAGCATCTTAGAGACTTGGTGGTTTCGTTGCTTTTTAAGCAATCCCAGATTCTTTAGGAAAAGAGTTCAAAGAGTAACAATTTCTACACTTGTAAGTATTAGTAGCAGCTACACAAGAATTAAGTTTTCTACCACTCTTGAACTACTCCAATTATTGATGTAAAGGTACGTTTAAACCAAACGAACAATCTTTCGATCTTTTAGTGTAAACGAAAGCTCGTTTTTAGTGTTTACACCAAAATATCAACGAGCAAATATGAGAACCAAGAACTAGAATTCTTGTACAATAGATGTTTAGATCAGCCGAACGAATGCTCATTTCTGTGGAATTCTCATTCAAGTCAATTCTGTTGTTGATAGTGCTCCGGTATGTCCGACTCTGACAGCAATATTATAATTGCAAGTGCTGCAATTTGTTATTTTGTCTTAAACAGTCAAAAAGAAAAGAAGGAAGAGACGTTCGTGGGTGAAAAATTTAATGCAGCGAAGGATGACGGATATGCAAGAATAAGAAGAAAGTGGTCAATTCCAAAATTTTTGTATATCTGAAATATGTGCTGTTGTATATTAGGTTGGCAATACCAACCAGTGTGAAGTGAGACCATGTAAGACGAATAGTGACAAGTAAAGCCAAGTGAACACGCTCTCTGTAAAAGAAAATAATTCTTAGTTATGTTAAATAAAGTATTAGTGAAGATCCTGACTTTTATTGAGAGAACACAACATGTGCTGCGGTAAATAAAACATTGCATGACAAGTAAACAAATTTATACTCACAATGTTTAAGACAATTATTGGAAAAATAAACAATCTTAGAACTCCATCACGGAAGGCATCTACAAATGCAAGGTTTGCGATCTATTTAGCATGATGATAAGTCTTACGAGCAATATGAAGTCTTATTGCATGAAGAATCTTATGGTATTAACACATCTCAACGTCATCCCTCAATATTATTTCTGACAACCCTTTCAATATCATCGTGGATATCATCGCTATACACCTCAAAACATCATAGTCATGTCTCAAAATGACAGTCAACCTAATACACCTCAACATTCTTCCGACCATCTTACAATATCATATATGGTACTCCTCAGGATTGTTTCAGACATCCTTATATCGTACCTATACATCTCAAAATCATCCTTAACACCCAATTATCGCTTCGATAACGCTTCACAGTGACTTAAAGTTCCTCAATATTGACTCTTACAAACCTCAACAGTGTCGTAAACATCAATCAGCATCGTTCCGCGCATTCCTCAGTATCCTAACACATCTCAACATCATCCCGGACATCTTTCACCGTCATCCTCAATATTGTTTCTGACAACCCTCAAATCATCGTGGATATCATCGCTATACACCTCAAAACATCATGGTTATGTCTCAAAATGATAGTCAACCTAACATACCTCAACATTCTTCCCACCATCTCACTACGAAGCACATCTCAGCGCTTCAATAACGCTTCAAAGCGTCCTAAACTTCCTCAACATTGTCTCTTACAAACCTCAACATCGTCATAAACATCAATCAGCATCCTTCCGAGCATTCCCCAGTATCCTAACACATCTCAACATCATCCCGGACGGAATGTATTAGAAGGTGAGGTTGATTTGAGTTTCGCTTCTTAAACTCAAGCCTTATAAGTTAACCCCTAAAGCAATGTACCTACTCCTAGAGTGTTGGAGTCGCCTTCTCGACGACTACCCAAAAGTAACCCTATCAGAAATCAATCCAATCCAACTCAAAGAGAAATCAACCCAACTCAACTAGAAACCAACCTAACTAGAAACTAACCCAATCCAACCAGAAACCAACCCAGCTGAGGGCCGTGATGTTGCAATTAATAACCATATTTAACTAATTGAGGTTAACACTTATTGCAGTGTCTCGGCTGCAAACGACTTTCTTGCAAATAAAGAAGTGTTTCCATCCCTATCTACTTTAATGCCATAATGATATGTAATATCCAAGGAATTATTGTTTCATCAATTCTAAAGCTATGTTCACAATGTGATTCTGACATTCTAAGTGTTAAAAACTTTTACCAAGAACAACGACATTCTCCACAAATTGAATCAATACAAAGTTAATCCATTTTTAATTCAATATCTCACTATAAATCTATTGTAATCTTTTGTCTCAATTGTAAAGAGCCAAAAGAGAGGCTAAAACAATGTAGCTACTCCATCCAACTCAACCAGAAACAAACCCAACTTAATCAGAAAGAAACCCAACTCAACCAGAAACTATCCTAACCCAACTAGAAACCAAGCAAACCCAACTCAACCAGAAACCAACCCAACTCAATCAGAAACCAACCCAACTCAACCAAAAACAAACCCAACTCAACCAGAAACCATCCCAACCCAACCAGAACCCAACCAAACCGAACCCAACTAGAAACCAAGCAAACTCAACTCAACCAGAAACTATCCCAACCCAACTAGAAACCAAGCAAACCCAACTCAACCAGAAACCAACCCAACTCAACCAGAAACCAACCCAACTCAACCAGAAACAAACCCAACTCAACCAGAAACCATCCCAACCCAACCAGAACCCAACCAAACCGAACCCAACTAGAAACCAAGCAAACTCAACTCAACCAGAAACGAATCTAAGCCAACCCAACCAGAAACGAACCTAAACCAACACAACCAGAAACCAACTTTTTCGAGAACAACGACATTTTCCACAAATTGAATCAATACAAAATTAATTCATTTTTAATTCAATATCTCTCTACATATAAATCGGTTATAACTTTTGTCTCAATTGTAGAGAGCAATTCCGAATAACTCTTAGTAACATGACAAATTAAATAATTTGACATTGACCTCACTTATA